GGACTAACCATCGACATACTTATAACGGTTCGTGTTGCTTGCAGGCTGGAGGTGGGCAAATGGATCTGGTAGTTTCTGTCGCGGAATGGATTTGCTCTGCGGAGAGGCACGTGAATAAAGCGGCATGCCCTCTCATCCATGGGCGCGAGGAACGTGAATTCAATTGGAACAAGAGTGCGGGCCACGGGGCACACGGGCCAGAGTGCTACCCAAACTGCTAGGTACCTCAACATCTGCCTAAACGGGGTGCAGCAAAATGCAACCAGAACACCATGGGATACAGGCCACGCCCCGGCATCACCCGCGCCAATAGACTCACATGTGCTCGGATGCGTGCCTCTATTTATGTGGTTGATATATCCGACCTTCTTTCTTCGTCTGCCAACACCGCTTTTGTCCCTCCTTCCGAAGGCCGTCCGACCAGCCCAGCAGACCATCCAATCCAACCGCACCCCACCTGCATCTCCACCCGCCTATGTTTGGGTGCGCTATTGCCGCCTTGGAAAATGACTCTGGAGTGGCCCATATCTGGCCCTTGATGAGCGGGTGAGCGGTTGCGCTCCTCCCCCTAGTCGTCTCACAACCCCCCTTGCCTCCGCCTTTCCCCCGCTTCTTAGCGCCCGGAAGCGCCTTGGCCATGGCTGTTTGCTGACCCGCCGCGGTGCTCCCAGGCTCCCAGGCTCCCAGGCTCCCAGGCACCTCGCCAATGCGCACGACGTCACGCCCCCAGCCTGCATCCGCCGCCGTGACTTGTGAGGCTCCATCGCCGGCCAAACGCTGCAGGAAGTGCCGGCTCCATCCCGGCCGTCTAACGCGAGGTCTGCTGCCTTCCGCTCGCCAGTTCCACGCCCCGGCTGGTCGTCGAACGTGCCCGTGCTGGACCAGAGTTCGGATCACCTGTCGTGCGCCTCGTGGGCAGCGCGGCCTCGTCGTGGTGACTTGCTGGAAAACAACAACGGCAAACTTTTGACACGTCTGTGCGCCGACACGGGGACGCTTGTTCCAACCCTGGCTCCCTGGCTGTTCTGTTGCGGGCCGGCCTCACTCTATCGCTGCTACTGTTGCTGCTACATACCCCTCCGCGCCGGGGTGGGCTTTCTTGTCAACCGTGACGTCCAGTTCGCATCACACGCGCTTGCCTTCCGGCAACAGTTGTACGCGGATAGGGGGTTCCTTGAACGTATATCTACCGATCCGCCTCCCTACTCGACTCCTCGCTCGATTGCATTTCGAGAGCACAGCGTCTGGAAGCAGGTACGCGGGACTGATTTTTTTCCACTCCTGTCTGCTCTTGTGTAATCCTCGTCCATAGCCCAGTCTCAGCAAAAAGCCTCAGCGCAAGGAGAGCACCTCTGACGCGTCCTCCAACCAACCACCGGTATGCTTCCCCAGCTCCTGCTGGCGGCTGTGGCTGTCCCGACATGCCTAGCGATGGCGACCCCGGTCCGGAATCCTGAACTGGGCGCCAGGGCCGACACCCCTAGCTGGCACCAACATGTCAGGGCGTCGGATTCGCGCACCATACGTCCCCGGGCAATCGTGGCAAGTCGCAATGCCGGCAACGTGTCAAGCCCGGATGGCCTCATCACGGGCAAGACCCCAACCGTGCTCTCGCGCCTTGGCCCCGCTGAGGAGAAGCCGTCCATTGTGGTCGATTTCGGCCAGAACACAGTGGGAATCTTGTCTATCCAATTCGGGGGATCCTCGACCGTCAACGGTAGCAGCAGCGCTCGCCCGGGTCTGAAGCTCGCATTCTCCGAGACTTTGCAGTTCCTGACCGACAGGAGCGACTTCACTCGTTCCGATCACGCATCGGGGGTATGTCCACATCTCACCCCGATTTCATGTTGCGCGGACCACAGTAACAATGGGCTAACACACCCGCCTTACTAGGACCAGAAGTTCACCCAGGGAACCGACCAGGTAAGGCCAGCCATTGCTATGTTGAGTCCCTAGGTTTGCCGGGATACGTTACTTCGGTGTTGATATAAGTGACGGGCGATGGCTGGTTTGACCTCCCGCTGACTGGGATCTCCCTGCCTTCCGCAGATTTCGGTGCGGCAGGAGCCCTACGAATACGTCAATAATATTGGCTGCCAGCACGACAGGAAGGTGTGTTCCGACGGCCTCCACGGATTCCGCTATGTCAGAATTTGGCTCGACGCCCTAGACTCGGACGCGCCGTACACCACCTCGTTCGGCACCGTATCCATCGTGTCTATGAAGCTGGAGCTGTCTGCTTTCCATGGCACGCCGGACACGTTCCGCGGAAACTTTGAGTGTTCCGACTCTGCCATCACCCAGTGGTGGTACGACGCCGTTTACACCAACGACCTCTGCATCGACACTTTCCGTCTCAACGATACGGAGCCGCGAGACGGAGGCAGCCCTACCCTTGCGGGGAAGCTGGTTCTTCACGACGGGCCCAAGCGCGATCGCGACCCCTACGTGGGGGACTTGGCAGTCTCGGCCCTTACCGCCTACCTCTCGCACGACGTGGCGGAATCGGCCAGTAACGTACTTGAGGACCTCGCTTTGCACCAGCGGAGCGACGGCTGGATCCCGCCAGCGAGCATGTAAGAAACCCTACTGTTCCACCGACGATCAATGTGTGTAATCTTGTGAACCCTGCTGACTGTTCAACGCCGACTAGTGGGAACTACGGCCTGCAGCTGTTCGACTACCCGCTCTGGTGGGTTGTGTGCAGCTGCGATTATGTGCTATACACTGGGAACGGCACGTTTCTGCAGAACCTCTGGCCCAACCTGGTCAAGGTTCTTGATGGCTTCTACCCGGGGGTCACCAACGCAGCGACTGGGCTCATCGAGCGCAAGGGCTATGGTGACTTTGCCTTCATCCCGCGCGAGGGGGCTGTGACGTACTACAACGCTCTCTACGTCCGCGCTCTCAACTATGCTGCCGACATGGCCGAGCAGCTGGGTCACAGCAGTGATGCGCCTCGCTGGCGCAGCCGGGCCACACAGGTGGGCGATGCGCTTCTCAAGCGCAACTGGGACCGCAGTGTAGGCGCCTTTTACGATGGCGGCCGCTGCGGCAACCAACAGCTCTGCCCCACGCACGGCCAGGATGGAAACAGCCTGGCGATCATGACAGGCATCGCCAATACGACCACCCCCGCCGTGGGTGGCAACGGCAGCGTTGCCGAGTCGATCCTCAGTTATTTGGACCGTGCCCTCCGTCGGCCCTACGGCAACGCCTTTTTCGACACGGATGATTATGGTGGCGGATACTCGCAGCGCGTCTACGCCTTTATATCCTACTTCGAGATCGAGGCGCGGTTCAAGGTGCCGTCGGCTGCGGACTCGGCCTATGACGAGATTCGCCGACTGTATAGCGCCATGGCATCAGGCGACCCGGGCGTCACCTTCTGGGAGGGAATCGGACCCGGCGCATCACCGTACCAGGACGGTTTCACCTCCATGTCCCACGGCTGGTCGACTGGAATTGTGCCCTCGACCATCAATCATGTCCTGGGGATCATGCCGACAAAGCCGGGCTTTGCCGAGTGGGAGGTCAAGCCCGTCATGGGTGGGGGGCTGACATGGGCCCGAGGCGTAGCGCCCACGCCCAACGGCGAGTTCGCTGTCTCTTGGACCACGACCGTTGAGGGTGGTGCCGACGCCGAGTTCCGCATCCAGATCTCGTCCCCGAGGGGCAGCAAGGGCACCATCTCGGTGCCTGTATCTGGCGCTGGGGTGACGGTCAAGCTTAACGGGCGGGACATCTACAACGTAGGGGCTGATGGGACACGGGAAGGCGCCATTTATAAGGACGGTCGTGTGTCGTTCGCCGTTGACGGTGGCAAGCATGACGTTGTCGTCTTCCGCAAGGTCTGAAAGGGACAAGGGGGAATCGATGTGGCTTCATACTTCGCCACTCGTATCGAAGGGCCGTATGTAGAGGGTGGGGGCTTGGATATGATACGGCGTACCAGTCAATACATACTTTCCCAATTTTTTTTTTCGGAAACGTCGCCTTATTTTCTTGTCAAAAGGACGACCAAACTAGCCTCAGCAAACTGAGCGGTGGCTGGTGCTGGTTGCAATTCGCCATTATCCGACTGGCGCAGTCGAACCTTTGTCGTGATTCGCCAGAAAGAAAACACCGCGTTGCATTCAAGTATGAGAAAAAAAGACCGGGTTCGATGGGGATGGAAAGATTGCTGAGGGAGGAGTCAAGGAAAAGACAAGCGATTACAGTCGGTGTCATGGCAGTAGTCGGGTTGCGAAGAGTCCGTTCTGTCTGCCCTCAGACCCCAGCACGAGAGAGGAAGGAACCTCATGAAGCGGGCCCTTCCTTGGGTGGGCCCAACAGAGGCGAGCGAGGGAGCAAGCAATTAGGACGTCACGTGCCCGACTCCAGCGCACACAACCCACTCATTGAATTCAAAAATTTGGCCCGCACCCCCCTTCCAGTTTTTGGAAACGACCTTTCTGGAGAAGCAAGAGTTTGTCGCCGACGACATATCAACGCCCCCAAACAACACCGCCAAAATGGTTGCCGCAAAGAAGCACGTCCCGATCGTGAAGAAGCGTATGTCGAAGCTCCCCTCGAAACCGCGGCCCTGATTCTCCCCCGGCGAGCCAACCGCGGACGGATGGTGGTGGCGGGTGGTGGTGCTGGGATTGAGCCCGAAGCCTTCCCTCACCCCCTCCCCTCGCGCTTCCACGGGGGAAATCAGCAGGACAAAGAGAATCGGGAATGTTGACATTTGAGGGACCTCACCCGCTGCAGGCACGAAGGGCTTCATGCGCCACCAGAGCGACAGGTTCAAGCGCGTCGACCCCAGCTGGAGGAAGCCCAAGGGTATTGACAACCGTGTCCGCCGTCGATTCAAGAGCAACCTGGCTATGCCCTCGGTACGCTGCGAATGCACCCATATCACTCTTTCTTTCACATGGTTTTGCTACAAGGCTCCCCTTCCTCTGTGTCGGGAAATTCCCCTCTCTCGCGGTCTCGAGCTTCTCGAATGCCGAACCGAGGAATGAGGCAGCAGTGACTCACAGACATAATTCTCCCCCAATTGGACCACCGGCTAACGGGCGGGATGCTTCTCCCACCGCCTACAGATCGGCTACGGCTCAAACAAGAAGACCCGCCACATGATGCCCTCGGGTCACAAGGCCTTCCTCGTCCAGAACACCAACGACGTCGAGCTCCTCCTCATGCACAACCAGACCTTCGCGGCAGAGATCGCCCACAACGTTTCGTCGAGAAAGCGCATCGACATCATCGCCAGGGCGAAGCAACTCGGCGTCAAGGTCACGAACCCCAAGGCGAAGGTCACGACCGAGGTATAAAGGGAAAAAAGGGTCATCTCTGGGTATTCGGCTTTGTTATGGTTGCGACACGGACTTCTCTTTTTTTCCATTTGCTCTTGGTCTGCGGGGAAAGGGAGTACAAAGATTACTGGCATTACCGCATAAGAGTTTCGGGGGCCGTCTGGCCATCATGAATTGCAACTTTCTGGTCACATTCTCGGTTCCGTGCGTGAGGCGTGACCGGCGGCCAGGGGAAGGGGCGCAAGTACTGCAGGATTATACCTGGTGCGGTCACGTTCTATTGGCACCGAGGGAGGAGCCAGGGAGGAAGAAGCGGAGAAATGAACACGCTCTCGCACGAACCCACGTCTTGTTCTACATCTTGCGGCTATCTGCCGTCTGCCACTGGCGGCCAATTCGAAGGAAGAACGGCGCCTTGATGTGTGATACTACAAGACCCCAAAATCAACAGCCTGTCCCGCCCCGTCGAGCCAAGTCTATTCTAGAAAGCTGGGAACCTAGAACAAAGGAAGCTGCCCCGGACTGTCCGCCAGAAACTCCTGTCACGATTTTACTGCTGGGCACACTGAGGGGCTCCCTCGTCCTCGTCGACGTCCTCCCACTCTTGACCGTAACGCGGGTCGCCCGAGCTCGCACCCATCTGGTGGTTGATTAGAACGGCGTCATGTCAGTCAACTGTCGTCACCCTGTCAAGGAGGTATAAAACGGGAAAGAACAGGGAATCTTACCTCTTCAATATCGGCATCCTTCTCGTACTCGACCTCATCGGTCTCCTCAGCCGCGATGGGCTCGGCCGGGGGAGGCAGCAGCGCCTTGAGGGCGTCATATGACTTATCGTCGCCGTCCAGCCAGCCGTCGGCGGGGAACTCGATCTTAACGATCAGGTACAGGTCGCCCTTGGTCTCGCCCCGCTTGGGCGGCATGCCCTCTCCCGGGACCTTGATGACCTCGGACGGGCGCAGGATCTTGCCGCGCGGGTGGTCGATGTGAATCCCCCTGCCGTCCAGGTGCTTGAGCACGACGCGGCTGAAGCCGCAGAGGGCCTCGGCCACGGTCACGATCAGGTCGGCCGACAGGTCGGTGCCGATGCGCGTGAAGGTGTCGTTCGGCTTCTCCTGTAGCACCAGTATGATGTCGCCGGGGGTCTGCTCGGGGAGCTGGTCGCCCTCGCCCTCGAGCACGATGCGCTCGCCGTGCATGGAGCCGCGCGGGATGTAGACCTCGAGGGCCTTTGTGGTGGCGACGGTGCACTTGCCCTTGCACTTCTTGCACCGGTCCTTCTCCTTAACGTAGGTGCCGCTGCCCTGGCAGTGGTCGCACGCCACGAGCTCGCTGCGCATCATGCCGGGCCCGACCTGGCGGAGCCGCTCCTGGCGGCCGCCGCCGGCGCAGCGGTCGCACTCCTGGGGCTTGACCTTGTCCTTGGCGCCGGTGCCCTTGCAGACGCTGCAGAGGACGCGCTTGTTGGACGAGAACTTGACCGTCTTGCCCTTGTACAGCTCCTCGAGGGAGACGTCGTACGGCATCTCCTGGTCGGCGCCGCGGCGGGGCCGCCTGGGCATGCCGCCGCCGGGGCCGCCGGGGCCGCCGGGGCCTCCCATGCCCATGCCGAACATTTGCGCCAGGATGTCGTTGATGTCGACGCCCTCGCCGCTGCCCATGCCGCCGGGGCCGCGCGACGGGTCGAAGGCGGCCATGCCGTGGGCGTCGTACAGCTCGCGCTTCTGCTCATCGCGCAGGATCTCGTAGGCTTGCGTCACCGCCTTGAACTTCACCTCGGACTCGGCCCTCCGCTCCTCGGGGACCTTGTCTGGATGGTGTTGCAGTGCGGCCTGGGCACGGGGGAATTACACGACGGGCTCTCTTCCACGGTTAGGAGGCTGCGGCTCGGAGCACGGCGGGGACAGGGCCCAGGAGGGGTAGGTAGGTAGGTAGGTAGGTAGGTAGGTAGCGGTGGTGGAACAGGGAACCCACCTTGCGGTATGCCTTCTTGATGGCATCTTGGCTCGCCGACTTGTCGACGCCCAGGAGCTCTACCGGGGATGGGGTTAGGAGGTGATGTCACGCGGAGCGAGGGGCGGAGCGGGATGTGCGAGCCACGAACCGTAGAGGTCCGCGTCCTCGTCGATGGGCGTTGCGCCGCTGCTTGGCCCTCCGCTGTCCATGACTGACTGCTGCCGTTGACAACCGACCCGAAGCGCTGGATAGCTCGGGGCCTAGCTGCTGCAGCTCCTAAGCCGTGGGGGCCCGATTCGATGGAATATCCGCCTGGGCACGTCGTTCGTCTTGGGGCTATTTCCGTCTTTCCGTTTGCGTATCGAGCGGAATGTTCCGAGTGAACGGATACTAGGAAGGTTGAGACGGCTCCCGTTACAAGCAGCGTTCCAAACTAAACAAAGTGGGTGGATAGGCTGACAGTATGAAGGTTCTTTCTTTTCTGCCTCGAACACTTTGAGCTCAGAACGGAGCCCAGGCCGGTGCCAGTAAGAGGAGGAGCTCTTCCAAGGTTGGTTCAGGTGGTATCCAGGTGGAGATCAAAAAAGCCCCATCTCAGCAATTTTTTTTCTGCTTGATCATTGCACAAGGGAAGGGAAGAAAAAAAAACCAACAAAAGCGACCGCAGATCGGACCAGTCGGGGAGGGGTTGGCTGGCTACACGGCTTGCTTTTGGTGAGATCCCTGCACCAAGGCTGCCGTCGGCCCTACGTGGGGGAAGCTGGTGCCGCGTCTGCAGGCATTGACGCTAAAATCCGCGGGCCTTTGCTGGCCCGGACCCTGACTGTGGCGGTGCTGGCCAGCGCGCCACAACGGCTAACCAGCAAGGAAGGCACCCTTGCTCCACTGCCATATAAAAAGCCACAGCCGTGGGATGTGAGGATGGGATCACGACGAACAAATTGAAAATCACAATGCTTTTTAGACAGGGCCCGCGAAGGCCGCTGTTTCTCGGCCGCAGTGTCTGGATCGGCCATCTGCTGGCCTCTCGGGGCTACCGTACCTCGAAGGCAGCATCAGCCTTAACATCGAGCACGAACGGGGCAAAGAGCGACGATGAGAGTCGCCCAGCCAGGACCCGGTTTGCTCCGTCTCCAACAGGATTCCTCCACATGGGATCTCTGCGCACGGCGCTGTTCAACTATCTCCTGGCCAGGTCCACAGGCGGCCAGTTCTTGTTGCGATTGGAGGACACAGACCGTGTAACCGCCCCCAGCGATAGTCACTTGGCCCTAGCAGGCTCTCGCTGACAGTTGGTTCTTTTTATTCACGCAGACGAGGATCGTACCTGACGCCGAAAAGCGGCTATACGAGGACTTGCGTTGGGCCGGGCTGAGCTGGGATGAAGGCAGGCTTCCTCCCCTTACTCCAACTGGTGGCTGAAACTACTAACGCTCCGGTCGCCTGCTTTAAAGGCCCGGATATCGGAGGACCCAAGGGCCCGTACAGGCAGGTATGCGCACCGGATTCCATGCTTCAGAAAACTCAAGCGAGGTCATGTATGTGATCGGCGGAACAGCCGGTGGCTCCCGGCGGCACTGCTGACGATTCCCCCACGGCGCCCGCAGTCTGAGCGTCTACATCACTACCGGAAATACGCGCAGGAGTTGCTCGACAAGGACAGAGCCTACCGCTGCTTCTGCACCAAGGAGGAGCTCGAAGCCTCGCAGCTAGACTCCCAGGCCGAGAGCGGGCACACCGGGCGGTACCCCGGCACCTGCCTCGCCGTCACGGCCGACGAGTCCGAGGAACGCGCAGCGCGGGGCGAGCCACATGTGATCCGGTTCAAGAGCTCCAAAAAGCCGGTCCTGGTCCAAGATGTTGTGTACCGCCGCTTCAAAAAGCGGGGGGCCGAGGACGACTTCATCATCATGAAGAGCGACGGGTTCCCGACCTACCACTTCGCCAATGTCGTGGACGACTACCTCATGGAAGTCACCCACGTGGTACGCGGCGCCGAGTGGCTCGTGTCGACACCGATGCACTGCGACCTCTACGCGGCCCTCGGCTGGAAGGAGCCCGTCTTTGCGCACGTCGGCTTGCTCGTCAACGCGGAGCGCCAGAAGCTAAGCAAGCGCAACTCGGACATCCAGATCTCGTCCTACCAGGAGAAGCACATACTCCCAGAGGCTCTGCTGAACTTTCTCGTGACGCTCGGCTGGCGCGCCCCTTCCCGCAAAGGCATCATGACCCTGCAGCAGCTAGTCGAATGCGTATGTATTTTGTGGTCACCGCGGGGATTCAGGATAGATTACTCCTTTATCTCCCAAGGGAGCGGAGAGGAGTTGCTGCTGACAAAAGGGGGACAACGCCGACCTAGTTTAATCTGAAATTCACAAAGGGCGACATCGTCACGGAGCTGGAAAAGCTCGAGTTCTACCAGCGTAAGCATCTTGAACGGCTGCTAACCGAACCCCCGGCCGACCACCAACCTGATCCGAGGTTACCTGATCCGAGGTTACCTGATCCGAAGTTACTTGATCCGAGGTTGGAACCGGTTCTGCGTGCGGTGGCAGACGAGATCCGGGCCCTCGAGGCCAGCCGGACCGGCGGCAACTCTTCGGAATTCCCCGAGCCTCCAAATTCGCCAGCGCCCATCGACACGGCACCCCTCGGCAGCCTGCACCCCGCCGTGGAGGATGATCTCGAGGCCGCCGGGGGCCGGCAAGAGTACGTGCTGGCGGCCCTGCGGCTCCTGGCGCACAAGGCCTGGCCGCTCGAGGGCCTGGTCGCGGCCAACAGGTACATCTTTTGGCGCCCGAGCCGCGCCCACCTGCTCGAGACGCTGGGCCAGCTACGGGAGGCCCTGGGGGAGGTTGAGGTTGTGGCCGACGGCTCCGCGGATGGAGTTCGCGTGGCCCTCGCCTCGGCGCGGCGGGCCCTAGAGCCCCTGGACCACGAGATGTCCTGGACGGCCGACCGCCTCGGCGAAGTCATCGAGTTCGTCAACGACTCCGTCGTATGCCATGAGCCGGGGACGGGGCTGCCTATCGCACACGCCACTTTCAAGCTGTGGAGGTGGGCGATGGCGGGGCTGGACCCGGGGCCGCCCATCCATGCCCTCCTTGAGTTGCTGGGCCGCGAGGAGGCGCTCGCGCGATTGGACCAGGCCATCGAGCTCGCCGCGGAGGCCGGCTGGGGCTAGTCCATAGTTTTACTTGGAAGCACGTAGTTGGGCTCTATATCTGTGCCTGGTCTGGATCTTTCTGGGTGGTATTTTCTCCCTGACGGTTTTTTATTCTATGTTTGTAATATTGTATCATTACTCTACTGCCGCCCGGCGGATACAGCCTCTCATTGGGCCGCTCCCGATAGGATTCAGTCCCCCCATCTCGGCTTGCTCAGCCCTGCGTAACCTCATTCAGACCGACGGGGCGAGAACACGCGGTTCCTCTTGTCCCCTTAGCGGTGCGTAGATGTGTGTGTCTTGGGTCGAACGAGAAGAGAAAGTGCTCTCGACGCCGTCGATGCGACGATCCCAACTCGCAATTACGAGCAATCAAAAGCCCACGCAACTGCAGCAGCAGCAGCATCTAATCCTCATGCCGCAGCAGGGGGCGGGTCCGCGCGCGGGTTAAAGACCATGGCCTTGATCTCGCCCGCCATGAGGGCCGACTTCTCCCTGGCCGAGACCTGCTTGCTGTCCTGCGCCAGCTTCTCCACCGTCTGCTCGAGCGCCCGGCCCGGGCCCGACAAGGCCGGGTAGGTGAGGGAGGAGGGCCCGGCGCGTCCGCCGCCGCCGCCGCCACCACCACCACCGCCGCCACCACCACCACCGCCGCCGCCGGCGCGCTGCATCAGGCCGACAGCCTCCTTGATCTTGCTGCCCAGGTCCAGCATCTGCTTGTTCCCGTAGTCGCGGTTCGTGAGCAGCGGGCTCTGGGACAAGGTCTGGACCCAGTACTTGTTCCACAGCAGCTCCAGCAGGTGCGCGTCGAGCGTGCTCTTGAAGTGCTCGGTGCCGAGCGAGTAGTAGCGGCTCGCGTGGGCGCCAAAGTCCTCGGCCTTGGCCAGGGGCACCGTCTGGTAGCCGTCGGCGGCGGCGACATCCTCGGGGGCGGCCTTGTAGCCGTCTGGGTAGGTGCGGAAGGCGCCGATCTCGACCTTGCCGGCGCTGATGGTGCGGTCCGGGTCGATGACGACGGCGACGAAGGGCTCGTTGAACTGCTGCTGCATGTGCTGGGTGCCCACGTCGATGCCCGACAGCCAGCAGCCGTAGCCCGGGTGGCTGTGGTACCAGCCCACCACGTTCTCCATGCGCCCTTGGTCGCGCGACAGGCGCAGGTACTCGATCAGGTACTCGTTGGCCTCCTCCTGCGCGTTTACGCGCGTCTCGGTCCCTTCGACGGGGAGCCGGAAGGCGTCAGTGATGACAAAGGTCGTGCCGTCGACGTAGCCCTGCATCACGCCCATGACCTCGAGCGAGCCGCCCGAGCGCGCGTGCATCACCATCTTTATCAGCGCCACGGCGCTGATGCGCACCGTCTTGAAGTAGTTGGGGTCTTTGTTCCAAGGCTTCCTGGCCGCGAGCTCCTTGTGGGCGTCGGCGTCGTAGTTGTAGAGGGCATCGCGCGCGGGGTCGACTAGCTTGACGTTATTGTCGAGCTCTGGGAACGGTGTTAGCGGGACACTGCTGCCAGGTCGAGGGCGGGGGCGGGGGCGGGGGAGGAGAGTGTGACGAACCCCATGATTTCATAGCAACATCCATCTTGACTGTTGGGGAGACTATGCTCTGGGCAGGAGAAAGGTTGTCGAGCCGGGCAAGGCTGCCTCTGGTGGAGGGTCGGGAGAGGCAGACAGCCCGAGGGCTGGGCTGATCTATCTCTCTGGCCGCTACCAGGATATCGGGTCGGCGCTTCGTCGTCAAGCGTGTCTACCGTTCAGTCGGTGATGTTTCGTCCAGGCCGAGTCGGAGATGGCGGGATTGCGAGTGACGTCCGCCTTTCGTTTGTTGCCGGTTGTTGGTCGGCGGTTCCGGGATGATGGACGGACACGGCCGAAGCTCCTCCTGGTAGTTCCGCTGGAGCTTGCATGCAAGGGCGCGGAGGTGGGGCAGAGTGGGTCACAGACAGCAGGGAAGTCGACAGCCGTCTGGTGGGCCTCGCGCTGCTGTGGGTCTCAACGGGCCACCTCTAATTAGGCAGGTTCGACGCTATTTGTGCATTGATTCTATCAAGACTTCTATCAAGGCATATCTACACCCTCCTAGGCCACTCGCAATCCATCATCAGCTAAATATGTACTTATTAGAAGCCCGCAAGTGTCTACAGATATACACTTCTACCCCGACGATCCGGGAGCCGGCACCTTCAAGCCCTTGACGCTGTCCCAGACGCTCTGGCTCACGCGGGTCGGGATCTTGCGCCCGCGCAGCCGCTGGTCGACGAGCCACGTGCCGACGACGAACTCCTCCTTGGATAGCATGCCGCGCCGCCCGAGGTCGACAAGATCCCACACCTCGGCGAGCTCGTCAAACGGGAGGCGGCTGCGGCCCCAGAGGTCTCGCACCACCACGTTGGTCACCGAGTCCTGGCCAGGGCCACTGCCGTCGCTGCTGCCCTGCTGCGGCGCCGCGAGCAGCAGCCCGCGGTTGCTGGCCCAGAGCGCCGCGTATCTCCGGCGCTCTGCTGCCGTGAGCTGATCCCGCCACCGTCGGCGCGAGCCCTCGTGGTGCATGTGCTTCTTTCCTAAGGAGCTTCGCTTGCGGTAGCGCTCGTGGTTCCGCCGGGACTCCTCGTCGTCGGATTTCGAAGGTGGCGATCGTAGAGTCTGCAGCATGCCCGAGCGCTTGGGCGGCGACTTGCTATAGCTGCGTGAAAGGTCCGGCGGCTGCAGATCATTGCGTTGCTTTCGCCGGGGCACTGGTATCGGAGGTGGGGCCCGGCTCTCCTCAGAAGCTTGCTGGCGGCGTGCCGAGGCGAGATTACTGGCGACAATGGCGTTGGTGAGAGAGTCGAGGGCCAAGCCTGGCCCATGATGATTCCCGACGCGAGTATGCGTCGCGGCCGCCGCTACCTGTCGTTGTCCGGGGGTTGAGGATTGTGGAGGTGGTGGTGTTTTTGGTCGCAAACGGCCTACCACCCCCGGTTCTGCGCGGTCCTGGGCCGGAGAGGATGGGGCAGGACCGCTGCGGCCAGATGAAGTCGTAAAGAAGGTGTCGTCGGACGATTCCGAACCGGCCCTAGCTCGCGCCACGGTTCTGACAGTTCCTGGTCCATCAACATCTCGACCGAGAGATCCAGTCCGTTCGTGTTGGTTGGGTGGGGCCCCGCGGCGCGCCGAAGCCCTGTCTGTAGCAGAGGACCCGCGCGCTGTTGGTTGAGATACCGAGGCCGGTCGTCGGCGGGGAGGCGGTGGCGTCGGACCTGTCGCTGGCGCTCGCTCATCAGTTACTTTGGTTGGGCGGGAGTCCGGTCGACTATCAACGGCAGTGGCAGCGCGAGGCGCCGGGGTCGGTATCTTTTCGCGAACAATGACCCGGCCACCACCAGCATCGTCACGGTCATGACTTGTAGCAGCGGTAGTTGAATCTGGGCCCGAATCAGCCAAGACTTTCGTTCTAATGTTATCAGGTCTCGGCTTTGGTCCGGGTTTGGGCTTTGGAGGCCGTTTCGTCGGAGTGTCCTGTGTCTGTCTCTCATCCGAGGCATCGCGCCGTCGCCCATCTTCAGGGCGTGTCCGGAGTTTCGCACTTTCAGGAGGCGGGCTCTTGACAGGGTCTGTATCTTCTCGTCCACGCCACGCACGGTCTGGGGCAGGAAACTGGGGTTCTTGCGGCGAAGTGATATCTCTGACGGGGCGGTCCCCGTCGGCGTTGGAGGTGTAGGTCCTGTCCCGGTCGGGGTAGAGCCGGAGGCTGGGCGGAGGGGACGCAGCACCGGGCGTGCCGCCCCGATGTCCTTGCGGCGTCGCCGCGCCCCTGCCGGCCCGCTGCCTGTTCGGACTGGGACTAGCGGAGCGACTGGCGGCGAGCGTGGCGGCGATGAAAGAGGCGGAGCGCGTGTCGGGGCCGCCGGGTCTCGCGTCGGACGGGCGGAGGTGGGAGCCCGGCTGGGAGCTCGGCTGCAGCTGCGAGAGCTGGTGCGAGAGGGCTTGGTGGTGCTCGGAGCCGAAGGCGGAGCGGTCGGACGCGGCGCTGCCGCCGGTAGCGTGCCTGCTGAGACCGCTCTGCGGGGTCGAGGCCGAGGCGGCCGAGGTGGCGGCCACCAGGGCGCCGTTGGCGGCGGCCGAGAGCGGCTGCTGCGGCGGCGCAGGCCTCGCGGCGCGGCTCTGGAAGGCGAGCGAGGCGCCCCTGAGGGCGGCGCTCTGGGCGCCGGCGGCCGGCGTCGACGAAGACGGGACTTGGGCCGACCGTGGGGCCTGGGACGTCATTTGGGCCGGCCGGCCTGGCTGGGCGCCCGCCTACAACCCACCTGAGCGCTCGGGGGAGGAGGGAGGGGCTGGCTGGCTGGCGGTCGCGTGTGCTCGTGCTGAGCCCGCGTCTCGAAGGCGTCGGCGGTGCGTGCGAAACGGTGCAGGTTCTCGACGTCGGTGGCGCAAACAGTCGCGGGACGTGGGAGGCGACATGACTCGCTGGCAGGGCAATTGACGTTGGTGATGATATGAGTCCTACCGCAGGCGCCTGTCAGAGTATGATGCTGCCCAGACATGCATGCTGGGCGAGAACTTATAGCTGGGATAAGGCACGGCTGGGAGCCGACTGGCCAGCTTTGGCGTTGACTGCCCGGCTGACAGGCTGGTTGGGTGACTGGGGTTTGCTGTCGAATGGGCAGGTCATCCCCTGGGTCGTGCGGCTGCTTCGTGCAGCCTGCAAAGTGGGGGCTAGACAGGGAGGTAAGCCCCTGGAGACTCACGGGCTGCGGCCGGAGAGTCAAAGTGCAGTGAAGTCACACAAAACCTACTCACCGGGACAGCATCATGATCAGATTTAATTTACCAGTCCTTATTGCGTTTGGATTACTTGACATCTAATTACCACCGAGAGACAGCCGGAAATATACCTTCGCAACGGAGCGCGAACAACAGGAAAAAGATAAAAGCGAGAGTAAACCGAACCCTCCTTTAATTGGCAACCGAGACGCCGATGAATGTGCATGGCACCCCTCCCATATCCATTCCGTGCACTCCTACAGCGGTATTTGCGCAGAGATGTGTCCCAGAGTTTCCAAAGACCCGTAAAGGAAAGAAAGGAATAAGAAGACGAGAAGACGAGAAGACGGGACGAAAAGAAAAAAGAGTGAGGCTGTGGCAACGAGAATGCGAAGGCAAGACAGCAAAAGAGACGTTGGCAAGGCCCGAGGAAAAGAGACGAGACAAACGGTGACTGTTCATCAGGGCATGTCATCCTCTACTAGTCGTTTTGTTGAAGCTCGAGTGTTGATGATGAGGGAATGGGGAAGATATCCTCCCCAAGAAAAAAACAAAGAAAAAGGAAGGAGAGGGGAAGAGTCCCCAACAGACCAGGACACCAAGGCTGAGTGATTAAATACAGACAAGAAGCGAACAAATGTAGCCACCATACCAAAGAAGTGATACAGTAGAGTACTTGTCAACACCAATAGCAGCCAGGGCAGAGATTGGCGCTAGTAGAAAGGTGTATAAAGGGGTCCAATTAGAAAGAAAGTGACAGAAAAAAAAACGTAACAGGAAAATGTAGATGGCGTGAGAATGCCGAGTATTGTGGTTGTTTCTTTTGTTCCTACAAGTTCCTGAGCGGACAGCGCAAGCGGGGGCGTGACACACGTGCAGACATGATTTTTTTTTCGGTCGTAAAACTTTAAAAAGCATCCTCGTCGGTCCAGTCGCTCCCGGACACGATGCGGTTGCCGTTGGCGTCGATCATGGCCAGCCCCGTGTGGGTAACGGCCGTCGGGGGCACGCCGCGAGGCCGCTTGGACTGGCTCGCCTGCGAGCGGTGATAGCTGCCGGCCTCTGGCGTCGTGTGCTGCTTGCTCCTGGCCGCCCGGAGCCTGGAGCAGTAGGCGTCCGACTCGTCCACCTCGGGCTCCGAGTTGTCGTCGTACGTCTCCCAGTTCTCCGAGCCCGAGACGGCCGTCGACGTGTTGGAGATGTGCCTCGCGTAGCCCGACTGCGCGTACTGGTTGACGTTGCGCGAGGCATGCATCATCTCCTGGCGCGAGCCTGGACGGGCGTACGGGTTTTCGTACATGTGCATCGCTGGCTGCCTGCCGTCGTCGTACACGTCGTCCGGGTCGACCGGCCTCAGGATCACACTGGCCTGCAGCTGGTTGTCGCGACCGCGAATCTCGGCCGGGGGCTCCAGGCCTGCCTCGGGCACCGCTACGAGATCGCGCATTTTTGGCGGCGGAGCACGCATCAGAGGAGGCGGGTTGCGGAAGGCATCGCCATCGCCCCTGGACTCTGGTCGCGGCCGCTCGGGAGAGTTGTTGCCGTGCTTGAGGTTCGACAGAGGCACCCGGGCAGGGATACGGGACGGGCTGCCCCTGAGAGAGCCTCCCGACGCCGTCGTTGTCGTTGTTGATGGCGCTTGCATCTGCTGTAGCTGGGGCGGGGCACGGCGTAATGTGCCGGTCGGAGTCTTTGCAGCGGCCGAGTGAGACCTTGCTGGTGCCTGTACTGGCACGGTTGTGGATTTGGTTGCACTGCTGTGTGCTCTGGCGGGAGGGGCAGCCCGGCCGGCCGCAGTCGTGGGGCGGGCTGTCAGCGCCGCGGCAGGGGCTAGGGCTCCTGGCGTCTTTGATCGCGGCGCTGGGGCGGCGGCACCAGCGGCCCGTGGCTCTGAGGCGTCGATAACGTCCAGGTACCTCTCGCCGTGGACGAGGAAGTCGCGCCCCCACTCGTCCTCCCAACTTTCCAGCGCCTTGCAGAGGTCGGCCGTGACCTTGGGGAGCTCTTTGGCAATGCGTTTGCGCATCTTCTCCTCGCGCAGCAGCTTGCCCGGGTCTCGCTTCTCCCCCTTCTGACCCCTCATCATGAGGCGCGAAGCGTCCTGACTGGACGCGGCCAGATCGTCACGCTCGGTGACCAGGGTGCGGTGGCGGTCGACCATGGCTAGGACCGGGGCGCGCTGTTCGTGTAGGACCTCCAGCCTCGAAATCTCGCGCTCGTGGGCCTCAAGTAGGGCGTCACTATAGACGTCGGAGAAGGCAGGGGTGAACTCGAGCATCTCGTCTTCTGACAGGAAGAGGGCGTCCCAGAGCTCCTGCAGCTTGAACCGGGCATCCTCGACAAACAGGTGCAGGTTCTGGCGCTTGAGCTCTGACAAGCGGCCCAGCTCATCCTCGAACTCGTTGATCTGTCGGACGCCGCAGCCACGGTTGGCGTTGAGGAACTTCTTACGCTCGTGCTCCTCGATCCCAAGCTTCTCCCACAGTGCCTCGACGGCTGCCTTGAGGTCCCTCAGGCGCTTCTCGCGGTTCTTCTTCTCGTCCGTCAGGCGGTCAAGTTTCGCACGCAGCTGGGCAATATCCTCTTCGTGAAGTCCCAGCTGCTCGGGGGCGTCGCGGTAGTACTTGACGATGGCTCCGTCCGTCTGCGCCTGCGGTGTACCCAGCTCGGCCCACAGCTGGATGATGTTTTCGCACGTGGCCTTGACGGCGGCTACACGGCGGGTGTACTCCTCGTAAACGCGGGTAAACTCATCGTCGAGCTTGTTCACGTACGACGGAGACAGACTGAAATCGAGGGGCAGCGACTGGTTCGGCCCCGTGGGTGGCAGTGAGAGCTTAACAAAGCTGGGCTCCAGGTGCAGCGAGTATGATTCGAGGGCCTGGACAAGCTCTGTGTTTATAAGGCATGTTAGTGTCATGTTCGCGCCAGTCATTGCATCTCCACCAGCGCTGGAGGGCTTGGGACCAAACTCACTCTTGACTTGTTCGAATCGGTCTCTGTGCAGCTTGCTAACGTGTTGGTGCTTCTCCTTAAGAACCTGCAGACAGCGCGTGAGCGGGTAGGTGATTTTCAGGCCGTCATCTTCATCTCCACGTGGCTTGGCATCGTCGAGAGAGCCTTCCATCTTGCGGATGGCGGATATGATATTCTCCGCCTCCTCTATCATGGCCTCCTTCTCGGCTGACACGGAATGCACCTGCTTTTGCAATGTTTCTGATAGTGCCGCGAATAGCTGTGACCAAGGGGAACTGGTTAGCATGCGGGAGAGACACGCAACGGCATACACCAACGAGAGGTGATGTCGGTCGAGAGCGTTGCGAAGCCTACCTCGGTCTCTCTGTCTTTGCGCTCATGGCTGGGGACACCAATGTGGTCGAACAGCTCGTGAAGATCCCCGATGATGGTGTTCACCTGTTGCGAGAGGTAGCTGGCGTCCATGTTTCCCCCTCTTCTCCTCGAGCTGGTGTCGTCCTCCATTGCTGCGTATAGCCCCGCGTGTCGGCAGGTGCGGGTCTGATGCGGGTGAACGAGTAGAGAGCGCGAGTGAACGTGTGAGAGTGATGTGAAGGGAGAAGCAGGCAGACAGCGCAATGCAATCTGGGTCGGTCCCTGATGCGAGGGCTAGGTAGATGGCTGATCGAGTAGTGGGTACCTCGAGCTGAGGTTCAATAGATGCGCAAGGTGGGTAGCTGTTGATGTGATGTGTCTCGGCGAGACAGGATCGTGGACGGGTGAGAGTTCGTTACAACCAGCACGCCGGCAACGCCAGGAGGACGGACGAGCGAGGCCGAGAGAGCTGTTGCATCTCATGTACGAGGGAGATGCGCTTGTGAGGAAGCAGACGCTCTGGTGGGATGCGGTGGTGTGCGGCGACGCCTGGTTCAAAAGGAATGCATGCAGGTGTGTCTCGCCTGCAAATCTGGGTTGCCATTTGTCGAGGCCCGCGAAGCACGAGGGCTGCATGACGGGGCCTGTTTTCTTTTCCCGCGCCAGATGGTTTCCGCAGCAACGCGGCCGGCCGGCTCCGCCACTAGGCTGCTTTTATGATTTTAACGTGAAACACGGCGCAAGAACATGACTGGCCCCACCCGACGCTGCCTGCCATCAAGCTTGCGCGAGCTTCTCATTGCACGACGAGGCTAATGGATCCTGTATTTTACATCGTCGTGCATGAACCTAGCCGCCCTCACCTTGCCCAAGTGGGCCTCTCGAGGACAACAACAAGGTCTGGCAGTTCGATTGCGTCGTGTTGCACCCCCCGCATGTCCGCCAAGTTCCTCCCCTAACAGAGGCGGCAGCAACACAGCATCCCAGTGACAGGCATGAGGCCTCCTCGAGAAAGATTGACTACACAACCCACCAACCATCGAGGTGAGCCAGTCACCCGCCGAGACCATTGCCTGCTAGACTAGCCTGCCTCCTTGCCTGCCTATCTATCTACCTTCAAAGTTAGGGTACCTATATGCAGGGGAGGACGCCCATAGAAAACGAAAGCCACTCCCTCCCTTCAAAGCCAGGCAAGCCAGGCGAGACCAGAACAGACCAGAGAAGGCCCTGGATGAGATCAGGCCCACCCAGCCCTAAACCAAAGCGCCCACATTACGTGCATGTCTGCACGTATGTCGCAGCGGCGGACTCGATTTGCTTGGGCGGTGGCAGGCAAAGGCCGATGCGATGTGCGGTCCGCAAGGGATGGGTCCAGCTGGGTTGGAGCTGCAGCCCGGGCAGCACAGCTGGGTCGGCTCCATGCTGCCAGGCCCACCGGCTGATTGCCCGGGCTTGATGTGTGTGTGTGCCTCAGGCTGCTATCTTCTGCCGAGGCTGGGCGTGTGCGTCGGGTCTGCAAAACGGCTCTTCGATTTTGACAGTGTGGAGACGGCCCGGCCGGACCCCGCTGAAAAATCCCTTTCTGTTTGCGTGATTTGATGCCGACGATGAGGTTTGGAGGGTGTGGAGCCTCGGCCGGCTCACAGCCGATGAGAAGACGGGCAGCTTCTGCCGTTGCGACCTGACAGGACCGACTGCCTTTGTCATGCACGTCGTCGTAATGGATGCGTATGAGAGCTTGACACGGGCGCCGGTTGGGGATATCAATTCCCAACACTCACTCTCATCTTGTCTTTTTTTTTTCTCACTGCCCTAATGTTCCCCTCGCCACCGGGGCCAGTCTCATCGTCGCCGCACCGCTGCCACTGAAGCTCCAACTGGACCCCTGTAGCAGCCCCTTTCTCGGCGCACGCGTCTCGCCCCAGCCGAGCCTCGGCCCGCCATTCCCACGCGCACGCACCCACCCGACAGGATAGTTGTGCGAGAATCTGGGGATATCGACAAGCCCACACATTCACAGGAGCGCCAACAAACAACCTTCTTTGCAAATAAACGACAGCAGCCAGTCATGACTACCTCCAAGCCCGAAATATCGTCGCTGCCCACGGGCCAGCCGGTCCCGTCTTCGACGCCGCCGGTGCCCGCGCCCAAGGGCTCGCCCGTCCCCATCACCGCCCTCCTGGCCGCCGCGCCCGCCGATCTGGACGCCTTCCTCGCCCACCTCCACAGGTGCCTGCAGACGCCCTCGGGCGTAGACGTGAGTAGTCACGCCGCTTCCTTCGCACGCACCGCGCGCCGCCCCGACGTCGACGCCGCACGGCTTTGCTGACCTCGTGGACTTGTCCGACCCTTTAGTGCGTCCTCCAGTTCGTCTGCTACGGCTCGCGCCTCTCGGCCGCTATCCTGACTGCGCTGTCCCAAAACGCGCTCCGCCGCTCTTCCCGTGAGCTCGTCGCCCTCGCCTTCGCCCTCCCTCCCCGCACTGCCGTCCTCTTCGCATCGGCCGGCCCGACCGTCCCGGCGACGGCTGCCTCGGCCCGGGCGCTGCTCGTCGCCCAGCGCCTCAAGGCGCTCTCGGGCCTCCTGAGCGAGGCCCGCGTCATAAGCCGCCTCTGGGGCCTGCTCGGCATGTACTTCTGGGCCCGCCGCCTGATCGTCGGCCTCATCAGCGCCCGCCGCCGCCCCAAGACCTCCGAGGCCGACAAGGACGCTGCCGCCGACGCCCCGCCTGCACCCTCGGCCGCCGTCGCCGCGCTGGGCTGGGTCCAGCTGGCGTCGTGCATCATATTCCAGGCGCTCGAGAACGGCGCCTACCTGTCGTCCAAGGGCGTCATGTCGTGGGAGCCGGCCAGGCAGGGCAGCGCCATGCGCTGGAGCTCGCGCTTCTGGGGCCTTTTTGTCGGCATCGAGCTCGGCAAGCTCGCCGCCGAGGCCACCCGGGACGGCGCCCGCGCCCGCGCTCCGGACTGGAGGAAAAACGTGGCCCGCTACCTGGCCTGGTCCCCGCTCATCGCCCACTGGGGCTCCGAGAAGGGTTTCATCGGCGAGATGGGCGTCGGCCTGCTAGCCTGCGTGCCCAGCATCATCCAGATGAACGACCTTTGGAAATCCACGGCAGCGACTGCATAGTTGGCGCCATCCGTTGCTTGTCTACTAGCCTTGTTTCTTTTTTCTTCGTCCCCACTTGACTAGGTTTTCTGCCGCACGGAGCCTCGTCATCCACCCAGAACAGTTTGATTTCGCAACTCATAGAGAAGGGGCGGCAGCAAATCCCACATATGATTCTTCAGCTTCTTTAAACTAACTTTACGAATCTATTACCCCATTTCTTCCTCGGGCGGGAAGTTTCTTGTTCAGCTCATTTCCTGCCATCCCGACTTTTCTTCGCTGATCCCTTTCGTCGTCGTGTCTCTGGGGAACCGCTTGATTTTTGGCCCGTTCTTTTTGTTGGCACTGTGCGCGACATTTGAGTCTCAGAAATACATTAAACAGAATGGAGGCTGTCTCCAGGCACATCTGCAACCGCTCCAAGGCAGGCTGCAGGAAAGCCGTGTTATCTCCTGGCCCCCATTATTGGTGGCGCAGGCGCCGGAACCGATTTGGTTCCGTGCGGATCGCGCTCTTGGTGCCTAATAGGGTTTCCCTGGTCCCCCATCTGGGGAACCTCACAATCCGCCCTTCTCAGGGCACGACCCCCTCTATGACGAGCAGGCCGACGGCAGACGCCCATGCAAGGACCGCCATCGGGTTGATGAGTAGCGCGTGTTGCGCCCCGGCCACCACGACGGGATCGAATGGGCTTCCGCCACCTCTTTGGCCACCCTGGCCTGGCGTCTGTGGAAGAGCTGTCGCCGTCTCCTGTGGCCTCCGTGTGCTGGTTGTTGCGGGAGTCCCTGTCGGTAGAGGCGTCACGGGGGTCCCGTTCTCTGAAGACCCGCTTGACGATAGCGGCGGCGGTATGACTGGCGTCACCGGTATCGGTGTGAGACTCGGTGAACCTCTCGACGTCGTTACAGACGTCGCCACAGAAGTCGTTATAAAAGTGGACGACAGTGGTGGTTGTGATGGTGGCGGTATCCTGCGCGTTGATGTGGTGGCAGGAGGTGGTGGTAATATCGACGTCGACGGCGGCAGCACCAACCTCGTCGTGATGCTGGTCGTCTGCGGCGGCTGCAGGCCCCGGCCGCACAGCGTGTCGACGAGCGAGCCCTGCAGGGCGGCGCGCAGGACCGATCCGGCGGGCACCGACGCGCCGTCGCACACGATCTGGAGCGTCGTCTGCATCAGACCCAGCGAGCGCACGCACCTCGAGCCGCACCCGCTCCCGGCCGTGAAGTCGGACTGCGAGCACCCCGCGAGGGGGCTCCTGTTGTAGGCCATGATGCAACCCAGCGGCACGTTGGTGGACGCAATGGACTGGAAGTCGGAGAGCGTCAGGGCCGAGACCGACGAGGCCATGAGGAGGACGGCTTGGGCGAGCAGGGTCGACGGCCTGATTGAGCAAGTGCTTTTTGGCACCATTTTTTCTTTTTTTTTTTGGTAGCGTGCGTAGCTCGCAATAGTGGCCGACAGCGGGGAACAGCTGCGTGGTCCGCCCACGTCTCCTCAACGGCTATCGTCCGTCTCCTCCTCCTAGCCCTAGTGCTTTTCGTTGTTTGTCCTTGCTCGTCGTGGTTGTATGTCGATCTGTCACTTGCTTTTTTCCTCGACTCCCTCGTTCGTTCTCCGTGGTCCCTTGCTAGCTCGCGGGTCGACAGATGGTGTAGAATGTACTTTCTTTTTCGTTTCTCTGTGGCAATGTTGATAATTCCAAAAAGCGGCTTTGATCAGTTCGTGTGGGGTCGTTGGGAGCCTAGACCTTGGGATCGGGCGTGGTGATGATCAAAGAAGAAAATCCAGGATTCATTAGTACGATCGATATCTGGGGGTGGCACAGCCCGGCCTCCATACGAGGAACGGCGAGATATAAGCTAAGGAAGAGCAACCAGACGTCAGACTCGCCCGGCAGGGCAGGCCCTGTCGCAGGGGGAAGCAGCCCGTGAGGCTCGCCATGGCCGCGCACGGAAGGCAGGGTTGGCAGGAGCCTGACTGATGGGATGCCCCCTAGCCGATCGTCGGAAAGGGCGGGTCCTACCGTGCCTGACATGTTCGAGTTGGATGTGCTGGCCCATCGGCTGGACCCCCTGGACGGCTGGCGGGAGCGTCGGCCCAGGGCCCTGGTGCGGACAGGGGTGGACCAAAACGCGAGTTGTGTCAGAGCTTTGGGTGAAAGGTCTGTGTGGCTGCTGGATGGCGGCCCTCCCGAGCTCGGCGGCAATCAAAAAGAGAGCAGTCGGACCAGTCGCGTGGGCGAAGATAAGAAGATGGTGGGGTGATTGGGATGAGAGACGGAGTGGGCAGCGAAAATCCAGAGCCGAATCATTACACAGTAGCCCCGACTACAGCCCGCGCAGAGCATGTCCAATCGGGCCATCAGTTCGGGTGCCCATCATGGATACAGCTCTTGAGGTGGTTGTACTGCGTAGAGGTACCTGCCTGCTTGCTACCTACTACAACTGCCTCAACTCCAGCCCGTCAAACATACATGCCTTGGCCTGCCACGCTTTGACAGACAGCTCAGGCATTTCAATTCCCACGTTTTTGGCGATCAGACACGGGCCAATAGGTAAACCCCCTCTCGGGCCAAGGGGACGGTTGGAGGGGGAGCAAGAAACAAGGAAGAAGAAACAAGCCGCGCTGCTTGCCACCCTATCAGCAGCAGCCCAAGAAACAAGACAATGGTTCTTCTTGGATGGAGCCCCCCCATCGGCATCGGGTTCCCGACATTGTGGACGGCGGATTTGCCAGACAATCCTGCATGGATGTTTCAAGAGTAGGTAGTGTGTTGTGAGTGGCGGTTCGTGGTCGCTTGCCTACTTTGCCCGCCTACCTACTTGCCTGCCCGGGCCACCACGTCGCCAAGCAGGTCCCTAATAAGGTTGCCGATCGACGCGCTGGACTGCCAGCCCGTTTTCCCCCATCGAGTGCGACGGTGCTGCGTGCGCGCGCGCGCACGAGGCCGGGAAGGGTTTAGGTTCCAAAACGGGTGGCTCCCGTCCAGCCGATCGACAGCGGGCCTGTGATCCCCACTGCGGCTGCTTGGGAATGAAACATAGCGTCCTGTTTCAGGCGCAGGGGGGGGGGGGGGGGCTGCAGATTGCCACGAACTGGGCACTCATTCTCTGTGGAGGAGTGGGAGGCCAGGAGGCCAGCACGCCAGCCAGCGTGCGTGTCATGGAGGGAAACTCTTTGGATCAGCGCGTGACTACAGGGCGTGCGCCCCTCTGGTTGTAGTCTTGGGTCCTTCACAAGGTACACAGGTAGGTAAGTATAGGTACTTAATAGGTGGCCCAGAAGCCAGCTCCTGCGAGAAATCTATTTTCCAGAGGCCTTTGGTACAAACTTGGCTGCATGATGCGAAGCTATGCAGCCTGCAGCCAATCGGATTGACCACTTGATCGTGTGAATATCATGTGATCTCAAAGTGTAGATTCAAGCCGAAACTAACAGGCCGCCTCCTTCCAGCATGCAATGCTCAAGTCAAATGTCCAGCTGGGAGGGAAGCGTCTGGCGAAAAGGAAAAGGGCAAATAAAATGAATCTAGTTGTCCTGACGTCTGCATTGGCTGGAACAATGCAGAGAGATGTCGAGGCACGATACGCACAGAGGCCAGGTACAGGTACAGTATACAAGTATGCTCCCAAACAACAATCAAGACACCAAAAACGCCGCCTTCGAGGCTTCTACAAGCGTACACGTCTACGACTGCTTCTCTCCGGTTTCTTCTCCGGCGAACTCGTCCCAGTCGTCCCAGTCACGGTCGGCCCCTCCCCCGATCTTCCGGCCGATCCAGATACCGACCGCCGTGGTGACGCTGGCAACCAGGAACCATCCCTCGAACCACTGTTGATGTGAAATGTCAGTACTCGTTATAGCGAAGGCGCGCTTCCGTCCGATACTACCGCCCACGGTCTGGCGGCAGAATCATGACTTACACGATCGACAAAGCCGGGCTCGAGCGCACTCTCCAGCACGTCACCCACGGCGCTCGACACCTCCTTGGGAAGACTGCCCCTGAGCAGCAGAGCCGCGCTGATGACGTAGGTCGCCGCCACCTGCCCCACCAGCAGGGCCAGGTTGGCCTGGGCCTGCAGCAGGACCCCGGGGGCCCACTTTGTGAAGAGGTGCAGCGTCTGCAGCACCGAGTTGAGGGACGCGGCCAGGATGACGCCCGACAGCAGGAACGAGATCTGCCGGGCCCAGGCCAGCTGGTCCAGCTTAGGGTCCCAGTGCCGGGCCAGGAGGCCGAGGAAGCGGCTGATGGGGTCCGACGACGAGAAGGATGCACCTGGGTAGTATGCCCGCCTGAGCGTGGCCATGGTCGTGGCTAGGATCCTGTAGACACAGTAGAGCGCAAAGATGTACGACGACAGCGCCATAAGACGGCCCAAAAATGTCCCATCACGCGCGTGGCTGGCCTGTCTGCTCCGTAGTGCGGCCACGCCCGATGACAACCTCGATTCCATCGACTCGAGCCCCGAAATCTCCATCTGCAGCGCCTTGATCTCGCCCGCGTCACCTCCGCCGCCGCCCATGCTCTTGATGGAACCCACCAACTTGCCCACCAGCCCGGAAGCCCCGCCGGGCGAGATTGGCGAGCCGTCTGGCGTGCTCGATGAGGCGGCGACCTTGCGCTGCAGCGATCGCAGACGGTGGCGTTTGGCAGCCAGAAGCTCGGCCGTCGCATCAACTCCGGCCTGTTTCCTTGCGACCACGGCATCCGTGACCGGACGGCGCCTGTGCGTCCTGCTGTCTGTGAGTAGATGCCACGGTGACGAGACGCTGGCAAACCCGGAGAGCAGCGCCATGAGGGATATTCCGATAACACCGATCCTCTCGAGGCACGCCCGGGAGACGTCTTGGGCGCTTGCGGCCGACAGGTCCGGAAATACGGATCCTGGGCTCCAGCCAATGCCACCCCGCGTGCCCATCGAGGCACCGGTGCTGTCGAAGCTGACCACCTCATCCCGAGCGTAGACGTACGTCTCGTCGGGGGCGGGGACTGCCATGCCCAGGGACCAGAACACGAAGAGCCAGGCGCCAAAGGCCGAGAAGAGCAGGACCCAGGGCATGCGCGGGATGCGGCCCTTGGCCGAGCGCTGGAACGACCACCCCGCGCCGGTGATGACGGACTGGAGCTCGAGGAACGGGATCAAGACGATGAGGAGAAGCATGAGAGTGGGGACCGTGAAGCGGAGAGCGGTGGCGCGGGCGCCAGGGTCGACCAGGTCCGAGATCTCGGCCAGGATCAGCTGGGCGAGGACAGCCGAAAGCCCAATGGTGGCGGCAAAGGTGGCGGCGGCGACGCGGCGGCGGAGGCTGCGGGCGCCGTGCTCGACGTGGCACTGGCGCAGGGCGGCCGGGGCCGAGGCCGGCAGGATGTGGTCGTGGCCGTCGTCGCGCGACCTGTCCTGGACGCGCGACAGGAGCGGGAACACGTGGCGCGCGACGAGGAAGCTGACGGCGGCGAAGGTGCCGACAAAGGGCGACAGCGACACGGCCTTCGCGAGGCCCGCGCCCGGGGGCGGACCGGCCGCGCAGGCGTCGTCGCCACAGCTGATGGCCATGGGGGTCGCGCAGATGGCAGCAGTGGGCGTCACGATGCCCTCGGAGGGTGACTCGATGCCTAGCAGTACCTAGGCAATGATGATGCGTCCCAGCGACACGTGACCAGGCAGATGGGTGACTTCGTTGTCGCTCAGAGCTGAGCACTCGACCACAGCCTCGGAGTCATGACCCGCGTTTGGTCTCCTTGTTGCCAAAGTGCGGCGGCCAAGTTCTCCAGCCTTGTTTTTCTCGGAATCTAGGAGGGCCTCGGCTCGAGCTAAGGTAGGATCGAAGCGTGCTTGGATGAAGGTGCTGTCCAAAGTCGTTGTGTTGTTGAATTGAGTGGGTGCTGGATAAGCATGGGTCAGGCAGAAGCGCTCCAGGTACCTCGGAACGCTGAGGTAATCGACCACCCCACTCGATGGGGGCAGTTGCCTGCAGGCTTCACCTAGGTAGCGACTCCCGCCAGGGCCTCGAGACCACCTAAGACGGCCAGGATTTTAGTGTGCCGTCTGAGGACCTGCAACCCGGCATCCAACCGCCCGAGCCGCAAACTGCGATCCTGGCTATAGGTCAGTTCTCGAAAGAATTTGAGAAATCCGCCATGAGCTCCAGACGCAAACCGGTACAGTACCTTCCAACGCTCAAATCTTGGAAAAGCTGAGAAGTTCGGGCACGCAGCTCCAAGCTCTCATCACGGTGGGTGCGGATCGGGCAGGAATGATCCGTTCCTCAGAATGATAATAATCAACCCCATCCAACTCTATGAAAGCAAGTCATTATCAGTGAGAGAAGTTACTTGGCATACATACTTATCGACGCTCAATCAAATCATTGATCGTGTACTGTTTGATGTCTTTCATGCCCCAGGCCAGTTTCACCCATGCGACTTGAGGATATACATGTGCTTTGTTGGATTATTCGCATGCTTTTAGTGAAGTATGCTCTTCCGGTGGTAACGAATCCTGCTACCACAACCCGCTGTACATTTCCCAACGCTAATTTCCAGGCCTTGGGATGTGGAGGAAAAAAAAGAGAGAAAAGCAGAACACGCATGTGATCTGACAGCGATAATCGGACTGCAGCCATAACATACAGAGGATTGTGTCAACGGGTATACCATATGTGGCACGCATAAGTAAGCATGCAATGCGAAATGCCATCACGACCCATTTCCGTCTCCGTCCATGGTCTGGAGATTGTATCATTTGCTGGAGCTCGCACCGCCGCCCTCATCATCGTCGTCTTCGTCGTCGTCTACCGGATGCTCGCGCAAGGCAGCCGCCTCGGCGACCTCCATCTGGTGCAGCTTTGTCTTCTTGATCTTCTGGTCGGGGTCTCTGTTGTGCGTCTGCTGCAGCATCTGATGACCCGATATGACCTCGAACTCTTCGTCATCGTCGTCGTCGTCGTCACCGCTGTCCTCGTCGTCGCTACCGCCCAAGGTCGAGGGTGGGGCTGGAATGGAACCGCTAGCTGCGCCACTGGCGGCCCCGCCTTGAGGCCTGTCGGCGAGATGAAGAGGCGACGGAAGGCTCTGGGACCGCGGGTGCATCCGCGCTCCCAGGTCCATGCCTTTGACGGTCGGGTCGAAGGCGCTGGGGAGCCCAATGGCGGCAGCCACCCTGTGCGCCTCCTCATCGCCCGATAGTTTCGCCTCCAGCTCGTACAAGCTGCTATTCTCACTGTCTGCCTCGTGCTTACCTCTGTTTGCAGCAAGCATAGACGCATAACTCTGCCGGCTGGGGTCGTGGATTCGCTTCTCCTTCTTCTTCTTACGTTTATCAATATCCCTGACCACGACCGTTGGCACAGGCGAGTACTGAAGACAATATTTCGAAAACGAATTCCTAGTGTTGACGAGGCCTTGGATGCCGCCAAGAGATCGGCCGCGAGTGCCGACGACCAGCATCGAGGGCTGGTAGACGTGGATCTAGCGTGCAGAAAGGCAATCCAGTCAGCCATTTCCAGTCCATCCGACGGACCAACGGACGTGTTTGCGCACCAGCTTCTGGAAGATTTCGTGCAGCTTCCCCACTGCGTACTCCAGCTTGATGCTGATGGCGCAGTCGGGGGGTATCTTAAGCTTGATGCGCTCGACCATGGCCTCAGCTTTGGCCTTGTAGTTCTTATCGTCACGATGGTCTCGCTCCGACACGTGGACGCAGACTACTTCGTCGCCATCCTCGGCATACTCCTCCAGCAGCCATTGAAGCGCATAGTCGGAGTAGGCATGCTGGTCGATGCCGACCATCATGGTGCGCGACCGCCTCTTTGGCTGGTACCCATCGTGGGAGAGGTTGATGGTGTACCCCAAGGTGTTGTTTTTGGTCGACTCGCCAACTGGGATGTTGTCAAATGACACGTGCTGCCGAAATCTGTGCGAGGAACCGCTTTCCGTTAGCACAGCCATCAATCTGGCAGGGCAGTTTGTCTTGTGAATGCGCAACTCGTCGGCATGAGCAGCCAGGCAACGTTTGTGTTTCGAGATCGCAGGATGTGAAAAGGAACGGTGAGAGTCACGAGCCTAGGATTGAATCTGGTGCCCCGCAGGAAGAAACATCAAAAGAGAAATGAGCGGGTTTGAAAGGCGGGGGACGAAATGGAGTGAAGCAAGCCAGGTGGATGGTGGCACGACGATGGGGGCAGGGGTTAAAGGAGAGAAAAAAAAAAGGGGGGGTCTGCCCAAATTCTCTAGCGAACACAGCTCAGCAGCATTGATTTGATGGATGCTTGCTGTGAGAGGCCCCTGCTCAGGCAGGTGGTGGAACCTAGGGCTGGAATCGTGGAATCGAGACTGTCAACTGTCGTGGACAAATGTGCCCGCGGTCAATTGATCGCCTGATGTCAGGGTGATTAGGCGGTATGCTTGAAGGCAAAGACCTGAAGGCTTGTGCGGTGATGGATGTCCCGTCATCCAACTTGCCAACGGCAGCTTCGGATAAAGTTCAAGTCTTGCAGTGGGCAGCAGCGTAGGGGCTTGGTCAACCGGCAGCAATTTGCTAAACTTTCTTCCCACGGACCGCCACAGAAGCATCCATGTGAGAATATGTCCTGGGGCTGCCGCTCTCCATCGTCTTCTCTTGTCCGCCTTCTGACACTAGCACAGGATGCATATTATCGCTGGCACTGGACCACCAACTCGTTTCGTCGGTCCCTGCCGCGCTGCCTAGCCACTTGGGGAGCGATGGTGGGTCGGGGAACGCTCCTCGTCGTGCTGGCTTCTCAGGAGCACTGGGGTTCCCTGCACTAGCACGCCCAGCCCAGCCCCGCTTGGGGCTCTCGGGCGACTTTTCTGCTGTCATCGACACAGCCTCGCTGCAACGGACCTCACGGACACGCGGCAACTGGCAACATGTGACACCAGAGACTTTGTGAGACGACCGTGGCAGATATGGCGAGTCTAAAAGGGAAAGGGGGTTCCGAAATTGAAGAACCTGGCAGTCATGTTCGGGAGCCATGACTAGAGACAGGCGACAGCAAAGACGGAGGAAGGTGGGACGAAGGGTGGGCAAACAGGGCTGGACGGTGAACAGTGCCTAGACCTCGCGGGCGCGACGCATCTTACCTCACTGGCATTGGCGACGAGGTCCGATGGCGGTAGGAGCCCGTCGGCCTCTGGATGCCCTGGGGAAGCGCTGGGTTCGCAGGTCGGAGAAATGAAACCGATGCGACCGACGACTTTGTCGACGACTCCAGCTCCGCCGACGCCTGCTCGCTACTGCGACTAGAAGGAGCGCAGCTGCTATCGGGCGCCAAGCTGCCGCCCTCGGTGGTATGCGAGGTGTTGCTCGCCGTCACCGGCTGCTTGGACGCGACTGATGGGCCCGCCATGGGCCCGAAGGCGTCGCTTGGTCGCTGATCGACACCAGCCGCGTCGATGATCCTCGGTGGGAAGTAATCAGCACCAGCTCTCTTTGGGTCTGCATTCGGTGGGTGCGATGACGGTGAGATGTCCGAGTCTGGGGTCCGCCTCGCGCCAGCGTGGGGGCTGGCGGGCATGATGTCGGTCGTCGTCTGGCTGGTCTGTTGGTATGCTGGTATCACTGTTTTGGGGAGATGGGCAGCTGTTCAATCGGTGGTCTAGTCTTGGTGGAGGTGGCGGGCTTCTTCAGAGGGAGGGGCGTTGCTGTTTTTTTTTTTTCTTGGCAGGGCGCCTGGCTGTGACCAGCCTAGCCTTATGTTGTCGTCGCGCGTTTCTGCTCCCTGTGCCTCCAAGGGCCGCCACGAAATCTTATGCTATGCCATGCATTTATGAGCGAGCGGGCGGGCAGATATGAGGCCCTCTCGGGTGGTTTGGCAGCTTGTCCTAGGTGCCAGCCTGCCAAGCAGCTCGCCAGGTGGCCAAGCCAGCTCGCTGCCGCTTACCGGCCTAGGGCGGGGCGGTGATGGCGGCAGTATTGAACTAAGTGTGTTTTCGGGTGGAGGTGCGAGGCTCGAAGCGGCCCTGGCTGTGTACTGGCGCCAAGGCTATGATGGGCTGAAAAATGAAGACAGATGAGCCCTGTAGACGGTGTCAATGGTTCACCTGTGATACGGTGCGGTGGCCGTCTTTGCTGTCGAGCAATCAACCGATGTCAACTGTAGGCGCGTCTGGGGCGCGTCTTGGCGTCGGGTCCCAAAGTCGGGGTCACTGGGTGAGCTCAGCCACCGCCTAATGGGGCAACCATTGATTGATGGAAGCCGCGGGCAGCGCTCCCAGCTGAATCAGGTGGTCCCCCGCCCAGATTGAGAAGGTGAAAATGTGTGTGCAAATGTATATGTTGGCTGGTTGCTCTGTCGTGTTGCCTTGCTCGTCCGCATCTGGATGTTGCGACAGGAAACAGTGAGCAGTTGCTGATCTATTATCCTCGTCGATGCCCGCCCTTGGCCGTGGCAAGGGATCATGATTGCACATACGGGGCAGCAAAATCAATTGGATGCCACCACCTCGCCTGCCGATCTCCAGCATGCTCCCATTCTATCCGTTTGCCCTCCGCCCGCCATTATTGGCCTCTTGTCACCCGTCATACCGGGCTGATATCAGGCTGTGCCAAGAGGCGCGAGGGCAACCTGCCCCGGCGGCCAAGGAGGAGCGTACAGTTCCGACACCATCATCCTCACTGAGGTCGCTCTCTTTCCCACCTGTTTATTTCTTGTATCCCTTCATACTCCCCATATATTTTCTTATTTCCCATCCCGTGCCCGCTTGCTTCCCCTTATCCAACCTGGTGTTGTAATCCACAACCTGGTATATGACAATAAGGGAGCGAATGATTATGTGGAAAGATAGGGAGTATCGGAGAAGCAGAGGCGACAGACACCACATCCGCCGCCTCACAAGCAGCAGCATCACAGCAAGAAGGTAAGATTACTACGGTAACATTGGATTGTGCGCACCTGTTGCATGGGGGAATGATGATGCCATCCATGGTTGGCACATCATGCTCATGCACGCCCAAGATAAGAAGCCGGAAATCTGCATCCCGCCTGGGAGACAGCCGGAGCCAGAGCCAACCAATAGATTCCCAGGCTGGAGGCACGAATTTTGCCTGCTCGCTTGATCGTCAGCCCCGAGGCGGCCAGTCAAGCGCGTGTTTCTACACCGCCATCCGGAGCACGCAATCGTCAAAGCCCGCGAGCATGGTGAGGATGCCCAAGACCCGGGGTGTGCACAGAAAACCAAAATAGAGCCATCCCTTCTTCATATACTGGATTCCTAATCGCCCACATACATTCGTCGTTGGCACACGTACGGGTGTCTTGTATGTTTTCTTCCATCACAACCTGTCCTGTAACCACCGGAAGTCGTGGCCACATGGCGCGCGTGCAACCGATACGACTTTTACCCTCGTAGCAGCTCGTGTAGGGCCCTGATACACGATACACGGCGCAGCCCATCCCACCGATCCTTTGTTGGCCCCAACACCGAGACGCCATAAGCCAACGCACATTCGGCCCAGCCACACCGGTGGCGGGGCTTCTAGAGAAAAAACAAGGAAAGGAGAAAAGTCTCAAAAGACCCGACAATGTCCGCAAGAGAGACTGCAGATTAGACTTGAGAAAGGAGCAATGCGTGGACCCGTCCGTCGGGGCAGCAATGTCACGCCACTCGATACTTGATTCCCAGTGGCCGGCGGCGATGCGCCGTCGCACTTCTGGTAGAGCTTGGTGTGGGACGATAGACCGAAAATATGAGCCCATCTCGGTGAAAATTGTACCTATATCACACTCAAAGGTAGGTGCGCGAGAGGTTTCGGAGGTACCAGTCCACTAGCTTCCTGCCGACCTTGGCCTCGGATATGTGGATCAGGTCCTGTCGTAGGTTATTTTATTAGCATTCAATATCGGCCGTGAGCTTAGACAAATGGGAGAACAGGGAAGATGGAAGGGGGAAAGGAAGAAACGTACGCCCTGCATAGCATAGTCCAGGTCGCTGACGTTGACGAGTTCGCCATCTAGTAGCGCGTGGTCGGTCCAGCGAAGTTGCTTGGTTCGCTGTTTGTTGACCAGCAGCCATGAGCGGAGCTCCTCCGGCTTCACCGACAGGAAGCCAGCCAGCTTCTTGAGATCCATAGTGGTGTACAGGCGCAGGTACGACTTGACGGTGGGACTCCACATGTTGGTCTTGACCTCGTCCATGAAAACGGACAGGTGGTGCTCCACGGGGTCCACATTGGCCTCTGGGTTGTCAAAGTCTGGGGGCACGGGAGAGATGAACTTGGGGCAGGCGGCCCGGAAAAGCTCCTCGTAGATGGGCAGGGATTCGGGGCCACCCCTCTGCAGCTTCAGCAGCTGGTCACCATACTTGTCGCGTAGCGCCGTGTGGATGGTGTCGTCCAGACGGGTGGGGTGGAATGCGACGCAGATGGCGATCAGGGCCAGCATCTGGTCGTTCTTCTTGCTGATCGAGTCGTATTGCGCGTTCTTCTGGAAGTTCTTGGTCCGAGAGACGTAGACCAGAATGTGGCTGAACATGCGGATCGCATCGGCGTAGCGGCGGATCATCATGTAGGAGAAGCCGACGTAGTAGTACGTCGTGAAATGCGCGGCCATGACGCGAGCAAACATGGCCTTCTTGTTCAGCTCGATGTCGTCGAGCGTCCTCAGAGCCAGGCTAAAATCGCCGAGAAGGCAGTGAACCCGCAGGAGGCCGATGATGGAGAAGTACCCCAGCATCCGGTACAGGCTCTTGTTGCCGTACTCGCCGGCGACAGTCATGGGGTCCTCGTTGCGCTTCATGGCGGCCAGCTGCTCGAGAATCTGGGACCGTTGAATGAGCGAGTAGAGCACGTTGAGGACGCTGTAGCAGCCCCATGTGTTTGGGTTGTCGCGGAGGACTTGCGCCTCCTCCTCGTTGTTGGCCTGTCGGGCTATCCGCATCCTGTACGAGGAGAACGAGTTGAACTGGTAGATGAACTCGTCGATGACATCCCACGCCCAATAGTACTGTGCGCGGCGCCGGATGGTCAGTTATTGGGCTCATGGGATTGGCAGGTGTGACGCGGCGGGGGATGGCAGGGGGACGCCAACAAGATTTGGAACGGGATTAAAGGGTAGGGCAGGGTAGGAATCTACTGACAGACGGCGGCTCGAGATCTACAGGACCGTCCGAGTTGAGGATGAAGTGGAACAGGCTGCAGTACTGGTCGTAGCTCTGGAACTTGACGTCGAGCGGCGCCGAAAAGTCCAAGGGCTGGGCAGCGGCAACTAGACGCTCCTGGATGTCGTTGGCTTGCTGCGCCATCGACATCTCGCCGTCCTCCATGCCGTCCTCGTACTGGACCTGCTCGCGGTAGTCGGCGACCAAGGCCTCCTCCTCGACGTCGCTGTCGTCGCCCAGGCGCGGGGCGCCGTTTTGGTATGCGCTCATGGTGGGCAACCAGGATCCGTCCTCCCCCGAAGCCCAAGATGCTGTGGGTGTGTGGTGTTGCGACGCTTGGTCGAGAGGCAGGAGAGGCGAACTGAGGCAGTTCCCACAAGAATAAAGAGGAAACGAAACTCGGTAGAGGTGTAGCCAATCCCAAAAACGGGGTTGCCGATTTTGACACTATTTTGGGTTTTTTCTTCTTTTTCTCATAAAGTCAGACAGGTGGTTGTGCTGTCTGGCCCCGCCAATGTGGATCCTCGCCCATTCACGTTTGCCCCCCTTTCTGCCAGCTGAACTGCCTATCGACCGCACCCCACCCCCACCATATCTGCCCGATTGAAAGTGATGCTGCGACAAGAAAGCAGGTGGAAATAATTTGGCAATAGGTAACGAGCCTAAAAAATAGCACCATATACGCTATAACTAGGGCTTCATGTTGTTTGAACTAATGCGGGTGATTACGGGCATCTGCTGTCAAATTGAAGCACGGCTGTAGTGTTTTCATACGATTGCTGCGACAAGGGCAATCTCCCAATAATCTGGCTGTTTTTTCACTTCGACAATCATGCTACTTGTTCGCGGTGGTCTAGATGGGGGGACGTTTGGGCTGCAATTGTGCTGCTGGTGTTCCAAACGCCTGGAGTGGCACCGACAGCTGTGAGGGGCAGCCTGTTGATGGCCGATGGCTCAGGATGGTCCATGGCTGTATTAGGCGTTGTAACCTTTGCCCAAGCAACTGCTAGGCCCAGCATTACCTCAGTCGTGACTCAAGCCCACAAAGATATGACACTTGATCAGTTTGAATGAGGCCAACCTGGACACCAAATTGCTACCGAAGTCCAGCTACTCACCTCTATTTAATCCTTTGGCTTTGGGGGGCTGGTTGGACCCAAGCCATCTTGAGGAACTCTAGCCTGAGAACCCAGAGGAAAAAACTCTGTCGCAAATCCAGCATCAAAATTGGGCCGCAACATTGACACCGCCGCTGGCGGGCTTTGCGTTAATCTCGCCAAGCCGACTACAAACCTACGTACCGTAGGTACCTTAAGGCGGCTACGGGTAGACAAGTACCCAGTGCCGACCCATCTCCAGATATCGCTCTCTGGCAGACGAGATCTGCGGAACTGGGCCAAGGAAGAGAACAGGTCACGAACGAACAGAGCAAATCTCAAAATGCCTGTGGCAAGCCCTGAAAAACTGGCACAGCTCCAGCAGCATGCCGACAACATCAGGAATGTACGTGTCGCATCAAAATCTTACCGTTCGTCAAGGGGTCCGTTATACGACGCTAACTTGTAGTAGATCTGTATTCTTGCACATGTGGTATGTCCTTATCGAGATGGCCTGGCCTTCTGGACGCGCCTTTCTCTATCTCTCTCTGAGCATTTTAGACGAGGAGAGAAGTGGTTCAAAATGCTGTGCCACGTGTTGGCCTGTACATCGATCCCTTACTGAACCTATTCTCTATGTATAGGACCATGGGAAGACGTCTCTCACAGACGCTCTACTGGCCACCAATGGCATCATATCGCCCAAGCTAGCCGGGAAGATTCGCTATCTGGACTCGCGTCCCGACGAACAGACCAGGGGTATCACTATGGAGTCCTCCGCCATCTCTCTACTCTTTTCAATGGTCAGGAGAAACGGCCCGGACCAGGAGCCCAAGCCCAACGACTACTTGATCAACCTTATCGACTCACCCGGCCATATCGACTTCAGCAGCGAGGTGTCGACGGCCTCCCGTCTGTGCGACGGGGCAGTCGTTCTAGTCGATGCAGTTGAGGGCGTCTGTAGTCAGACAGTCACCGTCTTGCGTCAAACCTGGATCGAGAAGCTAAGGCCTCTGCTCGTCATCAACAAGATCGACCGCCTCGTGACCGAGCTCAAAATGACACCATCCGAGGCCTACATCCACCTTAGCAAAATCCTCGAGCAGGTCAATGCCGTGCTCGGAAGCTTCTTCCAGGGCGAGCGCATGGAGGACGACCTCAACTGGCGCGAGAGGATAGACCAGCGCGTTGCCGCCGCCGCGGCATCCAAGGAGGCCGAGCTTGCGGACATGCTTGACGATGCCACTGATTTGGACTTTGAGGAGAAGGACGACGGGGACCTATACTTCGCCCCTGAAAAGAACAACGTCATCTTTGCCAGCGCCATCGACGGCTGGGCCTTTACCGTACGCCAGTTTGCCGCACTCTACGAGAAGAAGCTGGGGATCAAGCGCAACCTGATGGAGAAGGTCCTCTGGGGCAACTTCTATCTCGACCCAAAGACCAAAAAGGTCCTTGGACAAAAGCACCTCCGAGGCCGAGCACTGAAGCCAATGTTTGTCCAGCTCGTGCTCGAGCAGGTCTGGGCCGTCTACAGCGCTACCACAGGCGGAGACTCGGGCCGAGGGGACACTGCCCTGCTCGAGAAGATCACCAAGTCTCTGGCTATCACGGTCCCTCCGCACATCCTGCGTGCAAGAGATCCCCGCCTGCTGCTAACCACAGTTTTTGCCTCTTGGCTGCCGCTTTCCGTCGCGCTCCTTGTCTCAGTTGTTGAATCGCTCCCGTCGCCGCGGGCCGCGCAGGCAGATCGCCTACCGGAGCTGCTGCGGTCGTCGCCTGGCGCCGAGCACATCGACGCCGCGGTTCGTGACGCCATGGTGTCCTTCAAGACGTCAGAGTCGGTTCCGGTGGTGGCGTACGTGAGCAAGATGGTCTCGATGCCCGCGAGCGAGCTTCCTGAGAACAAGAGACGGAACGGAACGCTCAGCCCCGAGGAGGCGCGAGATCTCGCCAGACGAAAGCGAGCAGAGGCTGCCCGGGCCCAGGCCGCTGCTGCCAGCGATGACACTGTCAGTGGCCTTGTAGAAACGTTCGGCACGACAGGCTTAGGAGGTCCGGCCGACCCGGAGCCTGAACCCGAGGCGGAGCCTGAGCATCTGATAGGGTTCGCCCGGATATACTCGGGCTCCCTCTCGGTTGGGGACAGCATCTATGTTCTTCCGCCGAAGTTCTCGCCGGCGACCCCGCACTCGAGCCCCCAGCCACAGAAGGTGACTGTCGAAGCCCTGTACATGCTCATGGGACGCAGTCTCGAGAGCCTAAACACGGTGCCTGCGGGCGTGGTGTTCGGCATCCGGGGCTTGCAGGGCTCTGGAATCCTGAAGTCGGGGACGCTGTGCAGCAGGCTCGAGGGCGCCGTCAACCTCGCTGGTGTTGGTGCTGCCGTTGGCCGGCCAATCGTGCGTGTTGCCCTTGAGCCGGTGAACCCGGGAGATCTGGACAAGATGATCGCCGGGCTGAAGCTCCTCGTCCAGAGCGATCCCTGCGCCGAGTACGAGCACTTCTCCAGTGGCGAGCACGTACTCCTCACCGCGGGGGAGCTGCACCTCGAGCGGTGCCTGACAGACCTGCGCGAGCGCTTTGCCAGGTGCGATGTCCAGGCCGGCGCTCCGATCGTGCCGTACCGCGAGACCATCGTCCGGGCCGAGGAGATGCGCCCTCCGGCCAATAAGGACCTGGGAAGAGGCGTCGTCGTCACGACGACCAGCTCCAAGCAGATCACCGTCAAGCTGAGGGTCAGCCCGTTGCCCGGAGACGTGACAGACTTCATCTCTAAGAACAGCGCCACCATCAAGCGCATGTCTTCCGACCCAGGCACAAGCAGCGACGCAGCCGCGCAGGACGTTAGCAGCGCTCAGGAGGCAGACAGCACGAGCGGCGAGGCCGGCGACGAGCACGTGGCCGAGGCCAAGGAGACCATATCCCCGGACGAGTTCAAGGCCCGTCTGCAGGCCCTGCTCGAGGACGGGAAGGCCCGCGACGCATGGAAGAACACGGTCGACCGGATAGCCGCCTTCGGCCCGAGGCGGACGGGGCCCAACATCCTGGTCGACGGCACCTCCGGCGGGTTCCTGCAGCGGGTCTTCGCAGCAGAAAGGGGCGGCAGCGGCGGCGGTAGGCCGGCCGACCCCGCGGCCGATGAGCGGCTGAGCGCGGCGCACTTCTCGGACAAGATCACGTACGCGTTCCAACTGGCCACGGCCCAGGGCCCGCTCTGCGGCGAGCCCGCGCAGGGCCTCGCCGTCACAATCGAGGACGTAGAGCTCTCGGCGGCCGACGACGACGGGACGCCCGCCCGCGACAGCCTGGGCCGCCTGACGGGCGAGGTGATCAAGGCCGTGCAGCAGTCGGTCCACAAGGGCTTCCTGGACTGGTCGCCCCGCCTGATGCTGGCCATGTACTCGTGCGAGATCCAAGCGAGCAGTAAGTCCAACTCGTGCCCTTTACCCACTTCCAGCATGCAATGCAAGCAGGTACCCAAAAGTGGCAGCTACTGACCAAAACTCGTGGCATACACAGCCGAGGTCCTCGGGCGCGTGTACGACGTCATCACCCGGCGGAGGGGCCACGTCCTGTCCGAGGCCATGAAGGAGGGCACACCCTTCTTCACCATCCAGGCCCTGCTCCCCGTCGCCGAGTCGTTCGGGTTCGCCGACGACATGCGCAAGCGCACCAGCGGCGCCGCCCAGCCCCAGCTCATATTCACGGGCTTCCAGGTCCTGGACGAGGACCCCTTCTGGGTCCCCTTCACCGAGGACGACCTCGAGGACCTCGGCGAGTTTGGCGACCGCGAAAACGTCGCCAAGAGGTACATGGACGGCGTGAGGCGCCGCAAGGGCCTCCTCGTCGAGGGCCGCAACGTCGCGACGGACGCCGAGAAACAGAAGACGCTCAAGCGTTGATACACATGTCGATAGTCTGTTTAGATAGATACTGCATTTCAAATGTTAGCCGGGTCACTGATCTGGCTCAGGACCAGCCAGCCTCAGGTCACAAGAGTAGCCAGCGGACAGACAAGTATCTTGCCAGAACGAGATTTTCGAATTGCCTATGCTATAATCATCTCCTGTTCAAGATATCTCCTTTTTGCCTCGCTGCCTTACCGCCCCCTCCCATCCCACATAGCGCACTACGGCCACGCAGACACGGACACGAACACAAATCACACGTTCGGGGATGGAGAGATCCGAAGACCAAAAATCCGCAGAAACACTTGGAAATCTGATATTCTTTTAGGCCCAAAGGCAGGTACCAAACGCCGCCACCCACACCCAATCCTTACTATCAGGCCCTAGCACAAAGGAAAAGAACGAGAAGCATGCGAGGAGAAAAGTGCACAATCCATAGGAAGAGGCATCGAGATAAGCCTGGTATGCCGACGTGGCGGCTTTAGGAGGCTGATGGAGACCCGTCGCTTGACAGGCGTCGGGAGAATGTGAGGATGGGGGGACGAACATGGCGAAAGGGTGGGCGAGCTACTTGGACTAGGCCGATGAGACCTATCTGTAATAGCGACGCAGGGGCACCACGGACGAGCTCAGGCCGACGACAGGCGATGTTGTTTCATGGCAGCCACCAGTCGATTCCGAGGCCACTAGCCATGTCACAGCCACGCGGTGATAGTGGCCACGGTTAGATCGATTCGCTCGCACATTCTGCCACCCCAGTCCCAGGCTGATGGCGAAGGTTGACTCAATCTGGCCAACGAGGACATTAAGCGCCTTTGAAAAGCACGATGGCATCGTCCGCTGCTAAGGATATCCAAAGCGAGAAGAAGGCTTCGGCAACGGTCGCTTGTGGAGTCTGCAACGCAGTCGGAACGAGAAAGGATTGTGATTTGTGTTACAAGGCGTCTTAACAACGAGGTCGGTGGCCAAAACTGGTTCGGCGCGCGGTGTGCAGTATGGGCAGACACCCTCTTGACAGATAGTTCGACGAGGTTCGTGGCTGCCCAACGTCCAGGTGTGTCACATCTAGGACACAATAGGACGGGCGCCACCCCTGGCCTTCTTAACAGTCGTCCATCCGTCCTCGTCGGCAGTCGACTCGGGTCCCGCAGAGATGGGAGTCGAAGGCTGCGAGTCACGGCCACCGCTGCCGCGAGGGGGTCGCTGTCCATCATGGCGGCCGCCCCTGGACGGGCCCCCACGACGGGGACCAGTCGGGGAGCCCCTGGAGCCCCTGTGATGACCTGAAGACTGCCTCCAGTTTCCGCTCTCGGTCGCGCGGGTCTTCAGGGGCTCCCGAGGCTCACGCTGCCGGATGGGGACCTTCTGCTCCGTGGGCGTTGCGCCCTCTGTTGGCTGCGAAGGAGTCTCATCATCCTGCTTCGCCTCGGGCTCGGTTGATTGAGTCTCCTTTGCGGCCTCTGCAGCCTCCGCCGCCTCCGCCGCCTCAGCCGCCGCCGCCGCCGCTGCCGCATCCTCCTCAGCCTTCTTGTCCGCAGCCTCTTTGGCGAGGCGTTGCTCTTCCTTGGCATGCTCCTCCTCTTCTTTCTGCTTCTGCAAAGCCGCAACGCGCTTCTGTTCAATCTCGCGCTCCTTCGCAGCCGTGTCGATGGGCCTCGCGGCACCGAAGGGGCTGGCCTTGGAGTCCGTGGCAGTCAGAGCTGGCGACGTGGCATCCGGAGCCTCCGAGATAGTCCTCTTCGCGAGGTTCAACCTTGGACGAGATGGACCGGCAGGCACAGCAGCAGCCGGGGCGGGCGAAGGAGGTGCCTCGCTCCCGCTGCGAGACTGGCCAGGCGACTTGACGTTATCGGGGCGCATATTGCTCCTCCACTGCATGTCCTTCTCAGCGGCGGTGGGGGTCTTCTCGGGACGGTCGACGAATTCGCGACGGGGCGGCCGGGAGCCATCCTGCTGTTGGCGGCCCTCGCCCCAGGCAGCTGGCGAGGCCCGACGGTCCTGGCGTTGGAAATCGGAGCTGGCACCCTCAACAGGGGGGCGGCTGCCTTCCCTAGAGGAAGTTTGCGTGGGCTCTGGCCTCGGGGATAAGGGACCCTTGCGTGACCAGTCACTGAAGTCCCGAACCTTGCCATCATCCGCAGGCTCCCGGCCGGCACGGCGCTCGTTGAAGTCGCCGCCTCGACGATCGTTGAAGTCGCCGCCGCGGCGATCGTTGAAGTCGCCCCTACGGTCACCGAAGTCGCCGGGACCTGAGCGGCGATCGGTGTTGCGCGTCTGGATATCAGCAAGAGGGCCCTTGCGCATAGACCAGTCCAGCTCTCTGGGCGGGCCATCGCCACGACCATCCCTGTCCTTCGCTATTATGGTGGGAGTTCGTACAAGTCAGCGGTTGCAACAATAATTCGAGGCCGGAAGCATCTCCAGGATATGCGCAAACAAGGACTCGGGCGACAGAGTGGTATGATGAACTCACGAGGATCAGCGATCCGAACTCGGATCGAACGACCCTGGAAGGAGGCTCCGTCCAGAGTCAGGGCCTGCTTCAGGCCATCGGCGGAGGCAAACTCGACGTAGCCGAAGCCCTTGGGCCTCCCTTGCTCGCGATCTTCGACGATTCTCACGCTGACAATCTCGCATTCGGCGAAAAAGTCGGATACGATTTCCTGGGTGGCATCGTAAGAGAGATTGCCAAGGTGGGCGGTGTAGGGCGGGCGGTCGGGAATGCGCTGTGGGAAGTTATCCCGGGGGGGCATAGGAGCCTGGAAAGGAAAGCGAGGGAGCAGGCGCCAACGGTCAGATGTCAGAGGTTCCTTGATTTAGCGCCGGTGGCGGGGACGATGGCGCGTACCTCTGTCAGACGAGCCGAAGCCGCCGCCGAAATGAGAGGGGCCGCGTCGGTCAGATGGAGGCAGCGGTTGGGTTCCTGGAGAGACTGTCAGTCAGCTATACAAAAACGAAGAGATGTAGCAGGACCTTTGGGGCACACTGCATATCAGAGGCTAGAGTGGGCAGGTTTGGCAGCGTGCGTCAGGGCGGCCTGGTGGTGGGCAAGGTGAAGCGCGAGGGGGAACGTACCGTAGGTATCCTCGACCTCATCAGCCCAGGATCCACCAAAGGCTAGACACAGGCTTAGGTTAGACTATAGTAATCGAGATAAAGGAGGGGTATCATCGACAAGGGGGAGTCGAATGTCATGGCGGCTGGGCACGACGGCGGCGAGGTTGGTGACGTGGGGTTCCGGCGGGCGGGCAGGCGGGCTCACAAGTATCCTGCATAAACTCCCCGAGGGACAGCTTCTGCACCTCCTGCTTCTTCTTGGGAGCTGGCGACGGAGAGCAAGAACAGCGGGTCAGTAACGAGGCCATCGAGCCCGGCGGGCGGGCAAATGAGGGCGTGGTCCTTGAGGAGGGGGAGGGATGAGGGGGGCAAACAAACCCATGATTGCGGTGTTTAGGCTACGCGCAACGATGCAGCTATCGCAGCGCGCAGACGGGGCGATGGAAGTGGGAGCGACAAGGCAGGTTGAGGGACCAGCCTTGCGAGAATTTCGAATGTGTTTTCAAGTGAATCCGTGGATTGAAGCCGACGCAAAATTCGAGCCGACCGAGGACGATTCTGAGTTCTGTGCGATCTGATGGATATTTTTGGGGGGGTGGGTTTTTCTCTCCTGCTCGGGGTTTTTTTTCTTGCAGCCGGGCAGAGAAAACCCAGGGCCTAAGATGTGTTGGGAAGGTCTACCGGAGAATGAGGGTTGGCCGCTTTTTTTTCTTTTTTTTCCCCTTGCCGCCACGCGCAGCCCCTCTCGAATCGACAAAGCCCAGAGCCTCCACCCCAGAAGTAGACTAGCGCAGGTGGGGCACACTGTGTGTCGCACGCTAGGCAAGCTAACACAGCCTGTAAAGCTACTCTGCTGAGCACCATTTAGATATATATATCACCACCGTACCTAGAGATTATCTCGAATATTACGGGCGTTTGGAAAAGATGTAGTGCTTAGATTCTCTTAGCATTGTCTGCATAGTTTCTATTTAATCTTGTCTTTTTTTTAAGGAGGAAACTCTACTGGAACGGTGTGGGCTGGCTTATTGGTGAAGGTTGTGGCTGCATGTACCTCTGCCAGCCAGAGCTTCCGCAAGCCAGACTTGAGAGTCACCTACAGTCAGCAAGCCCCAGAGCGCACAGCACAAAGGCACGAAAAACAGGGCAGAATATTCTTTTAATTTTTCTCAGCCCGGTGTGCCCGTCTGGTCCATGTACGAAATCTTGCGCCGGCTGGGAGCATGGCACTCTGCTTGACTCACCATACTGGCGGACAGTTGACGGCACTGTGACCTCAGGGTTGAGTGCTAGCGTTGATGGATTTACCTTTGGCCCCACCAGGCACGCAAGCACGTTCAAGCTGTGTGCTTCGACGAGGAGGTACCTTACAGCTGGTCTCGACATCCTGGATGTTCCTGGAGGGCCACAATAGCACAGCTCATCTCGTGGTGACAACTGCATTGAGCTAATGTAACACACAACGTGCTCCTGGCGCACCAGCTAATCAATTATACACATTTCTCTCGCCAGCCGTCGCCAGGCAGGTGGATAGGACTCAGCGATCTGCCTACCATCTTACGTACCGACGTACCGCTGACGCTTTCTACATCCGGACTCGTGTGGGGCCAGCCCAGTGCACTGTGTGCTAGCTTGGGTTCGCAGGCCTTGTGCTGCCTAGGCTAGGCCATTGACCACAGCAAGCAACTCCGTTTGGTATGCAGAGTTAGCCCCATTGTTGCACAGATCAGTCCAATCCATCGGCCTCACTTGCTTCCTTTCTGTATCTTTATATCGTCGGGTCCGACATCGCACCGTCCGGCACCGCCACATCATGTCAGGAGCCAACGGTTCAGAGCCGGGGCCAGCGACCCCTTCGACAAGTCCGAACTCCAGAAAAAACTTGGCACCCTCAGGGTTGATAACCAAGACCCTCACTGCCGGCGCGTTTACAGGTGTGTGTTGATCTCGAGTCGTTGCAAGCTCGGCTCTGCATTGCTGACCAAGGGACGACTGGATACATCGGTCCCCTCCTTCTAGGAACCCTCGGTGTACTTGTAGGCGCAGCAGCCGGCGTTATCCGGGCTCGCCCAGCGGGTATCAGCGCAATTCTGGCTGGCGTCCACTGGTTTACATTAGGAAGCGTCTACTATTGTTAGGCCTTTTTCTCACCTTTGAACTCTTGTCTTGCCACGGAGAGTTGGCTACATCTCACAGGCTAACATGACTCTAGGCTCAAAGGAAGGGTTGGTTTCGGCTTGGGGAGGTGAGGGGGTTTTGACGCGAAGGGATAAGGTCACAGCCAGTGCCTTTGCAGGTGGCATCGCCGGAGCTGCATCTGGGCTGCTAGGTAAGTTAGCTAACATGCTTGACTACTTTGCGCCATGCAGGCCGTATCTTCCTTGTCCCTAACTCGCAGATGAACAAATCGCACGCAGCACGTGGCCCGCGCAATATGCTGCCCTCCGCCCTGGCATTCTCACTACTTGGAGCTGGTGGACAGGCCATTGCGAATAACATGGCCGAGCGTGCACCTGGACCCAAAAGGGACTGGCTAGCTTCTAAATGGAGCCCGCTCACTCGCCTGACAGACGAAGAGTACGAGAAAATCCTCGAGGAGAGGATATTGAAGCTCGAAGTTGAAATTGCCCTAGCGGAGGACAGGATATCCCATTTACGGGCCGCGGCGCAGAATTCGGCCGCGGAATCGGGATAGTCATGCTTGGCCAAGTATACATTCTGAGAGAAAGCTGTGGGGTCGCCAAAGAGACACGGCGTTGGTTACTTGGGGTGGGTAGAAAGTCACTTTGGAGACCTGAGACGTGCTGGAATCCAAAAGTGTAACCAGAAAAAGGAACAAGCCAAGGGAGGGATGGTTAGCCATCTTTGAGGCTCAGTGATAGAATAGGCTGATAAACGACAACAAGTGAAGCGTGGAAAAGAATAGTCTCCTTTGGAGGATCTGCGTTGCGGCAGGGGAGCTGGGCGATGGTGCATTTGACATGTCAGGGGTGGGAGTGCGCAAGCTTGAAATAGCTGTAGCACACGCTAGTCCATTAGATCCAAACTGGAAACGGCGTCCGCGTCTCAAGATTTCGATAGAGCTAGTTCCAGCAAGGGAACACGATCCATTCTGAAAACAGCGGTACCTTTTCGGGATGCCGAAGTAGATACTTTCATGTATCCTCCGAAGTGAAGCAACAAACGACCTACAGAACATACAGTAAAAGTCGAGAATAAAAATAGCCGTTCCTGTATAAGTCTCCAGGATATTAAATGTTACGACCCACAGAGCATTCCTACTGGCCCTCGTAACGTTGGAGACCTGTACCGTAGCGTAGGGGTGGGCCAAATTACAAGACCTGCTTGAAGTTTCCTCCTTCAACGCGTATAATGTAGTGAATCGTTCTAATATGGAACGTATCAATATTATTTTGCTATTGGTGCTTTGCATGCCTCGATTCCCGTCCCGTCAGGCTGCTCGGAAAGACAGGCGCACCAGAACGCAAGTGGATCAATGATGGAAGCAGGGTTTAGACAGGCGACCTAGCACCCTGGCCATTAGAGATGACGACCTGGCCAACGCCTGTGCTGGCCAGTCCACAAGTTCCGCAGCTCAGAATGGAGCACAGGCATACAGCTCCATGAGGTGTGTGTTGCCGCCGCACTGGGCTCGAGAACATGAAGGAACGAACGTCTGGCGGAAAAGGATTTGGTGCGACATGAACAAGGACATCAATCGTCGGGTTCTGGGTGGGATTTCAAGTCGTCGGGCCCTTCCTTGCGTGGGACGCCATAAGCCAGCCAATCAAGAAGCCTCGATCACGCACAGCTGTTATCGGTTGCAAGCCAGCAACCGGCCGCACGTGAAGCGCTACAGTGGCCCCTGCTAGAACCGTCTGCGTCGACCACCGAGCTAGCGAGCACCCACCCTAAGCTTGCCAAGATCACGTCCGGCCCGTACTCACCAGGTTGATATTGTCATTTCCGGCGTCCAGCCCATCTATCTATACACGCACCCAGCTCTTTGTCGCAGGCCCAAGCCGCATTCGCATTGTCCCCGGATCCTCACCCTCGGGCTCGCTCCTGGTCCCACCGCGCTGCCACTGCACACCTGGACAAATGGCCCTCTTCCTCTTCCGGCGGGGTGTATGACGGCCGGGTATGCCACTTCTTTGGCGCCCGAGAGTTAACCAGGTAGGCTTCTCGCCTCCCCTTGCGGTGACACATGCGCTCTTTCATCTCTGCGAGCTCATTGCGAGATCCCAACAGGCCCAGAGGCCGCTGTTCGTTCCACCCGGCCATTGGCACCCGATGCAGCATCTGACGTCTCGCGCCCTCCGGCAGACACCTCGATAGCTGCAGCGTCGCCTACGACATGGCACTGCTCAACCCGACCTTTGTTTGCGGCGTCCTCGTCCTCCTCTATCTGTCCACATTCGTCCTTTTCGCCGTCCTCCGCATCATCACCGGCGTCTCCGTCCAGCGCATCGGATACTTCTCGCTGCGCCGCCTCGCCTACACCCCGCGAGACGGCCTCAAGATAGAGATCCGCGGCCTCGGCCTCAACGTCCACCGCCCGACCTTTGCCCAGCCGACCTGGCTTAGCATTGTTGTGAAAGAGCTCGTCGTCACTGTCGATATCCAAGTTCTCGAGGGCGGCAAGGCCGGCATCGGTACCGCTTCCCACGATGACGACGATGACGACGAATATGGCCAGGGCGAAGGCCCCCCAAGCCGGCTGGCCCGACACGACACCACTCCCCGCCCGTCCGCACCGCACCCCGGTATCACCCGCCGATCTACTGGAGGCCCTCCGCGAAGTGAGCTGTGGAAGCGGCTGACGCGACTCAAGGAGCGCATCAAGAGGCTACACCGGAATGTCAACTGGCTGCGCATGGTCGATGTTGTGGCCACCAGCTCGGGCTTGAATATCGTCGGGGTGGGGAATGTTCAGGTTGGGAGCTTGACCGTTGCTGTCGACACGCGGCGAAAGATGGTGGATCGCGCTCGCTTCTTCCTGCAGTCTAGGGGTCGCAGGCGACAGGAGAAGCACCAGGCCGAGTGGATCACGACCCTCCGCAGCGTCTTGTTTACGCCAGAGGGGAGGGAGTCGATGGAAATACTGGACAATGCAACTCTCAACGTGCACGGCTTCCTACATGACGCATCTGATGGGCTCCAAGACGCTGCCGTTGCCCTCAAGCTCGGCCGCATCCACCTCCCCTACGACGAAATACAGCTCTGCGCTGATCTCTACAAGCAGTGCCGCAGCCGCGCTGCTCAGACCCCCGCCGACGCCGGTGGCGGGCTCGGGTCGGTGGACGAGATCATGCAGGAGATAGAAATCCCAGGGAGCACCGATCAGGAACTCATGCAAACCGTCTCCGACTCCAAGGAGTTTGTCAGCTCCCTGCTCAGGGGCATCAAAGAGGTCCAGTTCGCTGTCAGCTTTGTCGGCCTGACCAAGAAGATCGAGCACGTCAAGACGACGGGCGCCCCGGTCCTTCTCAATGCCTCAATGAAGGAGGTCGGCATAGACCTCCACCGCTTAGACCCAAAGTCGCCGGCCCATCGCATGTATTTTCCCTCCACGGACATTGCTCACGAGGCTCTGATGGCCGCCCTCTCCATATCCATTGGAGTTGACGACGGTCAGGGGGCCCCGCAGCGACTTGCCTACATCCCCATGGCCACCACAACCGTCCGGACCACCCTGCCGTCCAAGACGGTAGAGCTGTCGGGCCATGGGAGTGCCGAGCAGCGGAACGCCAATATCCTCTTTGCCAACTCGGTTGTCACCTCTCCCTCGGTTGATCTCGACCCGAGCCACCTGCCACTGCTGCTCGCCATGTTGCGGCCACGATCCCGCAAGCCAGGTGCCCGGAACAAGAAGCGCCATATCCTCATATCGCGACTGCTGCCTAAGGCTAGCATCAAGTTCACCATGCACGAGCCCGTGGTCCGCATCTCGCTGCCGCCCGTGCAGAAGCAGGCTGACCCGGACGATTTTGACCTCATCATCTCATCCATATCCTCGATATCCCTCGATATGGAGTCCTTCCACTCGGCAGTGGAGGACCTCCACTACTCGCTTGCTTCATCCATGCGGATACAAACACATAACCTCTACTACCAGACGGCCTCGGGAAGCCGCTTTGACGTGCTCGAAACGGAGTCCTTTGACCTGAAAATACAGCTGGGCGCATCCCCCGACGTCCATGTCGTGGCCACGGGGAATCTGCAAACGTTCGCATTCAAAATGGTGCGCCCGGAGATCAGCGATGGGCTCCATCAGATTGCCAGGCAGCTGCGCCTCAAGACCGGACCCGAAGGGCACGTGTCTTCGAGCAGGCCGAAGCAAAACTTCTTGCGTGCCATGCCGTCGTGGCTTCTCCACTTCCAGATCCAAGCGTCGGATTTTAGCATCGAGGTTGCGGGCATAGATGAGGACATATCGGAGAATTCTCGTGGAGTAGCCCTGCACTTGGAGTCTTGGTCGGCCGAGTATCGCGCGCAGAGGCTCGATGGCCTGCAGCGTCAGCCGTCTCGCCGTCGGGCCAGCAGCCGGGCCAGCTCAATGACCGAGGCTGACCTGCTCAAGACCGTTCCCCTGTCCCCGCGCAAGAGGTTCCAGAATGCTGGCGATGGCCGTCGCATTGCCGTGCACGTCAGGGGGCTGGAGGCGTTCGTGGTTGAATCCTCAGAGAAAGGGGAGGTCGACCCGTTTGTCAACATGCCCAGGTTCGAGGTGGCATGCTCAACTCTCAGCGACAACCAAGGCCCGGTGTTCCATCTACATTCCAACGTACGCACACTTCTGGTGCAATACTCGCTCTACCGCCACTATGCGGTCGGGGTTGCGACCATGGTTTTGCGGAAAGCCTTTGCACGCCCGAGCCATGGCCCCGGCGATGATCCCGCGCCCAGCTCGGGCGGCGCACCCGCCAAGACTACCAACGACCTCCTGAGTCCGCCGACGTCTTCTGACTATCTCTCAGGTGGCGATGACGCACATGGGAAACCGGCCAAAGAGCTCGTGGCCATCGATGTGAAGGCTGCTCTTGTGCAGATCAAGGCAGATATGCCAGCCGATCCCCCTATAATGCTGCAGATCCACGGGCTGGAGGCCGGCCGTCACCGCTGGTCCCCTCCCTTCTTCCATTCCAAGCTCATCAGGCTCTACGCCGAGGCGCCCCGGATGCGGCGTGTCTGGGCGAGGGTTCTGAGCGTGAAGAATGGCCGCCTGGATTACCGCGAGTCGCGCAAGAAGCTGGCTAGCGGCGGCTACAAGGATGAAAAGTTGTTCGACGTGGTCACGGACGCCATCCGTTTCGCAGTTCCCCACGAGCTTATCTTCAACAAGGTCTCGGACAACATAATCAACGTCTTCAAGTCGGTTCAGCAGCTGCACCACCGGTTCAGGACGGGCACTAACGAGTACATCCTGGATAAGGGCCCAGAGTCCCCCAAGTCAATCCCAAAGGTGTCGCTACGCAGCCGGACGTTCCTATTCGAGCTCGAGGATGGTGCGTTCGAATGGAAGCTCGGTATGATATACAGGACCGGCCGCCTCGAGCAAATGCAACGGCTTGCTCGCGAGGAAGCGTTCCAGGTCAAAGTGAAGAAGATTCACGAGGAGGAGCTGAAGAGAGAGTCAACCAAGTTCAGGACTCGGTCTGCCACGAGAAGTGGCAGATCAAAATATGATGGGTCTCCGGGAAGGAGAAGCCATAGCGAAGACGGGAGGCCGCGGTCGAGCTCGGAGAGCCAGCTGCGAGGCCCCGCGCCGCGGTACGAGCCCGATGATGCGGGCCTCGGAATGAGCGGCAGAGCCCGTGTATCCATCAAAGAGGCGAGACGGCGGCTGGACGAGCACAACTCACACAGCTGGAAGAGGCGGATAGACCGCCACTTTGCCGCGGCGCGAAACAGCATGAGCGAGTTCCGGAGCCTCTTTTGGGGCGCCGATCATCTCCCCGACGACGTTGACGACGACGAGCATATACTAGAGGTCCCACAGCGTCCGGCCCTGATGTCTACGCTGGTGCATGACCTGCACTTCGTTGTTGACAAGCCGTCCTTCCCGTCGCGAGACCTCCCTGACTTTCTGCACAAGGTCGGCAAGGGGATGCCGAAGGACATGAAATACTCGCTGCTCGTGCCCATGAACGTGGCGGTCGACATGGGAGAGGTCAAGGTTTCGCTGAGGGACTATCCACTGCCCCTGCTGCACGTGCCCAGCCTCAAAGCCGGGCAGTCGCCGCGGCTATCGGCCTTGTCCCTGAAGACAGACTTTGTCATCGCCGAGGAGTTCCATGGCTCCGAGTCGACTCGCAGAGTACGGGTGACCATTATCCCGCCCAAAGAGCCATCCCCGGAATCGCCGGGCAACGGCGGCTTCGCCATCGACGTGCGACGGACTGTAGGCCCGGTCAAGTCGTACTCGGACATCAACGTCGACATCAACACGGCGCTACCTACCAAGCTGACGTGGGGTCCGTGCTACCAGCCCGCCATCCAGGACATGATGATGGCGATCGAATCCTTCACAAAACCGCAGCTGGATCCATCGGAGCGTGTGGGTTTCTGGGACAAGATTCGCCTAAACTTGCACTCGCGCGTGCGTGTGGCTTGGAAGGCAGACGGCGACGTTCACTTTGCGCTCAAGGGTACGCGCGACCCTTACCAGGTCACGGGTAACGGGGCGGGCTTCCTCATGTGCTGGCGCAACGATGTACGCTGGAATGTGCACGTGGACGACGACCCCAAGCGCTTCATGACGGTGGACAGCGGCGAGTACGTGCTCGCGGTGCCGGACTATAGCAGCTACGCGCGCGGGGCCGCACGCCGTGCCGCCGATCCGGGCGCCATGTCGACCGAAGACTCGCACAAGTCCGGGGCAGCGTTTCAAAAGGTCATCATGAAGCTGTCGGGGCGTGTGCAGTGGCTCGCAGGGCTGGTGTTTGAGCAGGCCATACAGGACGGGAAGCGAAGGTTCGACTTCAAACCGCACTACGATGTCGTGCTCAAGACACCACAGTTCGCCAAGCCCACGGGTGACAAGCCGTACGACGCATTGCGTGGGTTCAGGAGCCAGCACATCCACCTGTCGGTTGCGGTGTGCGCGCCGGTGGACAGGGAGTGGACGACGGCCAACCCGGAGCCCTCGCGCAGCTACAACGCAGTCCACCTCACCCCCCGCTTCTTCACCCACTTCTTTGCTTGGTGGTCGCTCTTCGGTGGCGGTACCATGTCGCTGCCGATCCGGCAGGGGTCGCTCTGGCCGGGGCGAGAAAAGAACAGCAAGAAGTTTGGCAGACACCTGGCGACCATCAAGTACAACCTGCTGCTTGCGCCTCTCTTCCTGAGCCACATATACAGGCATAAGGACGCCGAGGACCCTTCGGAGATGGCGGTACAGGCGACAGGGATCAAGGTCAGGTTCGACAGCTTCATGCTGGATCTACATCAGAGGAGGGAGGAGTTCAACACACGCGAAAAGGGGAGCGGCAAATCGCATCAGGCGCGGACGACGGGTATGAAGATCCACGCCGGGCAGCTGGACCTGGCATCGGTAGACGTGCGTGCTGTTTCTGCCAACATCCGATCGGCGGCGGCCGAGTCGATCAATGAGAATTCGCTTCCCGGGCTCGACCACGGTGATGACGACGCCGACCTCTCGCGCTTCACGATTCCGGACCACGACTTTAGCTGGATCGACATGGACGACTTTGTCGAGCTTGATACGCCCATGCGGGCCGAGTCCAACGCTGAGACCAAGATTCTACCTCTGATGTTTGCCCCTCGGGTCACGTACTTCCGACAGACAGACATTGGCGGAGTGATTGCTGGTGACACGACCAGGAGCAGCTCCTTCGGCGAGGAAGAAACGCACTTGTGCATAATGAGCCGTGATGACGAGCCACGGCGGGTACAGGAGCAGCTTATTCGCAAGCGGCTCGCGCCGCTGTCAGAGCAGATCGAGGCGAACATTCGCACGCTGGGTGAACTCGAGCTCCGGCTGATCAAGACCGACCATCAAGACGCCGATCTGAAGACGCAATTTGAGCAGCTCACGCGCCACGGCCAGGTGCTTGAGGACAAAAAGAAATTCCTGGAGAGTATGCTGCAGCAAATGCAGCAGAGCCGCCGCGCGGAGGAGTCTGGCGGCGGCGGTGGCGAGTCCAGGGAGAGATCAGACACGTCAGTGTCGATACCGCTCTCGGAAGGGTCCATCTCGCTGCCGTCGGGCGCCGAGTTTGCCAGCGACTTTAAGAATCGGTTCGTGGTGCACAACATGCAGCTCAAGTGGAATAACCTCCTACGCAACATCATCCTGCGTTACAGCCACCAGGTCAGCCAACGGCGCGGGTTCGTGTACTACCTCTCGCGGCCGGCCATCAAGTTCATCCTGGACATCGTTGAGGAGCAGAATAAGACCAAGGCATCACGGCCGACGAACGCCTCAACGCCGGCACCGTCTGGGGCCACGGCATCGCCGGACCCAGGCGGTATGGACCAGGACACGACCAGGGAGATCGAGGATACGATCCGGCGCATGATGCAAGACGCCAAGAGGTTCGAGGGCACCCACGGGCGGGCGGCGGGGGCCGGGGAGGTGCCGGGCGGTGTATCGATTGGGGACTTGACTGGCGGCATCGCCGACGGGTTCACGCCGCAGAACAGCTACCACGTGCGGCTGATCGCGCCGCAGATCCAGATGCAGAGTGCTAAGAACACAAAGCACGTGGTGCTAGTTACAGCCAAGGGCATGGAGCTCAAGGTGGTCGAGGTGCTGGACAAGGACCGGGTGTCGGACTCGGTCAGCGGGCTGGTACAGCGGCGGTTCATGGTCAGCATGGACAGCACGCAGTTCTTTGTGACGCACCAGAAGTGGTTCTCGACTCAGCTGCTGTCGGCGTCGTCGGGCAGTACGTACGGGACGCCGCTCGGCACGTTGTGGCCGCCGTGGGTGCCGATGGAGGTCATGTTCGACTTCCAGACGTCGCCGCTCGGCTTCCGGCGCGTGGTGCAGAAGACGTCGGCGACGCTGCGCTACGACAAGTACAACACACTGCGGCTCAAGTACAACGACGAGGTCAACAACACGGGGGCGGGCGGCGAGGCCAACAGCACCGAGTCTTCGCCACACGAGGCGCCGGCAGAACAGCGCATGGACAACCTGTGGGTCGAGTTCCCGCAGGCGCGCGCGTTGTGCAACTCGTCGCAGTACTACGCCATGTACGTCATCGTGCTGGACCTGCTGATGTACAGCGAGCCGACGGAGAAGCACCGCAGCGAGCGGCTCGAGAAGATCATGCTGGCGTCTGACTTCAGCGACCTGCGGGGCGCGCCCGAGATGGTGGTCAAGCTGCAAGACCGCATCCGCCAGCTGCAGGACATCCGCACGCACTTCCAGGTGCACGCCAAGCACCTGGATCGCCGGAGCTGGGAGCACCGCATGGCGCTGGAGCGCGACCTCGCAACCTGCGAAGACGAGCTCTTCTTCACCATGAAAGCCATCACGTCGTCGCAGGGCAAGTACGAGGCGGCGACGCAGAACAACGCACTGCTCAAGTGGAGCATCTCGGCCCGCGAGATCGTGTGGCACCTGATCCGCGACAACAGCGAGCCGCTGGTCGAGTTGCAGCTCAAGGACGTCGAGTACGACCGCACCGACAACGCCGACGGCTCCCACTCCAACGAGGTGCGTGTTGGCAAGATCCTGGGCCTCAACCTGCTGCAGGACGCCATCTATCCGGAGATGATTGCGCCCTATGTCGACGAGCGCAACGGCGGTGCCGCGCCTGCGAGTGCCACCTCCACCAGCATGGCAACCTCGTCGTTAGCAGCATCGTTGGCGGCGGCAGCTGTGGCAAAGGCGCGGTCGTCGTCGGCCGACACGGGCAGCCAGCCTATGATCCAGGTCCGCTGGAACATGCTCGAAGCTATCGCCGGCATCCCCGTTATGTCGCACTTCGAGGTCAACCTCTTCCCGCTCAAGATCCAGCTCGAGCGCGAGGTGGGCAAGAAGCTGTTCGAGTATATCTTCCCGGATATGGATAAGGATCGCCAGGCAGCGGCGGCAGCGGCGGCAGCAGTGGCGGCATCCAGCAAGGGCGACTCGCCCTTCACACTCCGGGGCGCGGGCCCAGATCACGACGAGGGCGGTGACGAGCCACTGGCGGGAGGTGGCCACAGCTATGGCCACCACCAGCAGTACCTGAGTGATAGAGACGCCTCGGCGGCGTTCGACACGCGGGCCGGGTCGCTAGAGCTGCGGCTCCGGCCCACGCTCACGTCGGATGCGCAGGCGGTGGGACCAAAGTCCAAGGCAGTCAGCGTGCACTCGGTCGAGACGGGCCACTCGTTCCGGCTGTTCCGGTCGTCGGCGACGGGGGCGACGTCGCGCACACCGAGCAAGAAACCGTCGGCCGAGTCTCTGCGGTCGTTCGGGACGCCGAGGCCAGGGATCGGGCGCACGACCACGGGCTTCTCTTCGATTGGGGGCGAATCCAAGAAGGGGTCGTCGCGGTTCGCGCTGCGCAGCAGGGGCCAGGGGGCGGGCGAAGACAAGGCTGACAAGCCGTCGGATGACCTGACCAAGATGATCACGCGCGCCAGCAGCTACATGACCTTTGCCTACATCAAGCTTCCCTCGGTTGTCCTCTGCCTTAGTTACAAGGGCAAGGGCGACCGCAACCTCGAGGATGTGCACGACTTTGTGTTCCGGCTGCCCACCATCGAGTACCGCAACAAGACGTGGTCGAACCTGGACCTTGCCCTGGCCTTCAAGAGCCGAGTGATCAAGGCGCTGATCTCGCACACAGGCGCCATCATCGGCAACAAGTTCTCGCGCCACCGCCCAAACATGGCCCAGCAGTCCAAGCTGCGCGAGCTGGCCTCCAGCTCCGTCCTTCTGATGGGCCCGGCTGTGGCGGAATCGAGGGACAACAGCGGCGACGACTCGTCCTCGCTTGTCGACTACTCGCGCTCGCCCCCGCGCTCGCTGCGCAGCTCTGATTCGTCCATCCCGGTGCCCCGCGGTATCAGCCGCAGCCCGAGCGTCGCCTCGGGCAGCCGTGGCACGTCGACCAACGGCGCCCCGAGCTCGTCGTCGGGGCCAGTCGTCCCGGCCTTTCTGATGATGACACCGCCGACGCCCAAGGAGGGGCAGGCTCCCGGTTTTCCCTCAAGCAGCAACGGCAGCGGCAACGCGACGCCCTCCAGTGGCGACAGCCTCCGCCCAAAGTCAGTAGGCAGCATGCGCCTCTTCAACGGAGTCTCCAACGAAGCACCTGAGCGGCGGCGCACTGCCCTGGGCGGCATGCGAGATAGGCTCACCGCGTTTGCTAGACGGAAAGACCGCGAGAGCTCCAGTGCCGACCCTCAAGGCCCGCGGGAAGATGAAGGCAGCGGTGTGGATGCTCCCGACGACAGCGAAGAGGAGGGCGGCCGGCACCCCGACGGCAGTCTTACAACAAGGCCGACCCGCGGCCCTGGAAGGGGAAGGCTGAGCCAGTAGCGCTCCTATCACGCTTACCCCACGTCATGTTTTTCTCACTCTTATTTTCCATGTCGTCATGTCTTCTTTTTTATATTCTTCTTTTGTAATATTCCCTCCATGTGCATGCTTCTTTCTCAACCATGTCGACGTCAGTACTCCCGAACA